TCTTAACAAAAAATTTTCCCACCTGGTTAATTCTAAGCCTAACTAAGACACCTTGTGAATAATGTGGAATTTTGCGATGGGATTGGCTATTAACTTCGACTCTTGCCTGGAATCAAACAGAGCTAAGGGACATTTCCCATTATGGATTTGACACAGATCTGTGCCCTTGAGGGAACAGTCTTGATATTGTCATAACCATGTTCCTCCTTTTCCTTTTTATAGCAAATTTCTATAATCAGGACAGGTAAATAATGGAAGTTTCATCATTGCTATACTAAATCTATTAATTAATAGATTAATATTAAAACATATGAGTTAAAGTAGGACACAAGTATGAAAGATCTTAACTATTTTTAATCTGTATTCATGGTCAACTCCACATCCTATGCAACGAGGTAAATGAGTTTGTAGGTTTCTCATCCCTTTGCTAACAGTTATATTCATGTATAAGATTAGGTCCTTAAAGTACTTCATTCCTTCAAAATGATATGAAGATTTTATATATATGTATATGTGTGTGTGTGTGTGTGTATGTGTGTATACACACATCTCCTCGAAAAGGAGAACACAAAGATGTCAACTTTTTTTTAATTTAATGAAGTAGAAAATTCGAGAAAGCAATAAGATTAGAATGTTAGAAATCTAAGAAATAAGATACATGTATGTATGTATGTATTCAATTGGCTTTTGAATGTGTCTAATAGGAAATACAAGCTTGAGTATGTTTTAGTAAGAAGTTCTCAAAACTGGATTAAAGTTTTTATATATAAAATTGTATTAATGATTGTAAATAATTTTAAATCATGTCCTTTTTCCCCTATTTTTAAGTTTCTGTATGATGTATGAGAGGGCTCATTTTCCAAGTCAGGCCCTTTTCCTTCAGCCTGTGGATGACATTGTCCACATCAGGTAGAATATGGGAAAAGACTGAAAAAATAAGTTAAATTCTCTGAGCTTTCAGGTGAATTATAGGTTCCTAATTTGTTGTTTTTATAGCTTTCTTGTTAATAGGGTTAGATCCATAAGTTTTGAGAAAGTTTTCACTACATGAACTAGTCACTAGAAAAGCAAATTTAGGAGATTGTACTAAATTGTACCGAATCTTATTACTGGTAGATCTTAGCAGAATTACCTAGGAATTTCTGCAAGTGACTTGGAACCAGAGAAACGGTTCTACTAGGAAGATCATTCTTCAGAGCTGCCCTGAGAATGTGGCTTATTCCAGAATTTCCAAGGGAAGATGTTTCCAGGAACCAGACAACTATATGGGGCATCTGGGAATCAAGATGAAATGTGCTTATTAAGTGAACATTGGGAATGGGTTACCAAATTACAAGGAGACAATGTTATTCCATATTCATTATTGTATTTGAAAAAAATTAAAGATAGAAAGCATGAATTGGTTGTAATCTTCACTATTATGAGGACCACTCCATAAATGAAATCACATAAAGTACAGATGCTGAAAGTAACACTTAAGTGACAAATAGGATATGTTATTTCATTTTATTCTTAGAATTTAAGTTATTTATAACTTTTTTCTTTTGATCTAGACCTGTGATTTCATCTATATGAGAATGCCTTTGCCAACTTTGACCTAAAGTAGATTACTTATTCATGTGTCGTTGAACAGCACTAGAAGTAAACACAAAACCATACTAACTCCATTACAAAGCTGTGTTACCTAATCTCAACTGGGTCTTTGATGCAGCAAGACAATACTTTTACTTCTCTCTGATTTTCTCTTACTCCATACATCTGTTCCAAACTTTCTCTTTTGTCCTCAAGCTTCCTTACTGCTCAGCAGGAGACCTACCTTCATACCTTACTGAGAAGAATCCTTTCTCAGCAGCTCTCTCAGCTTTCCTACTCTATTCTTCACAATCCCTTGAAATCATCCCCAATTCTCTCTTCCCTTACTCAAGTCACTAATGAAGAATGATTGTTATCCTCACAAAAGCCATTTTCTACTTGCAACCTTAATCTCATCCCCTTCCATCTCCTCCAGCAGATTGCCCCTATAATCATTTTCTCTCCACTCTAATTTTCAAACTCTCTACATGTTGTCTTATTCTCTATTGCCCACCCTCTCAATTCCCTGTCACCCTAAGCCCATGCTTAGGTTTTTTTCCTATGTTAAAAAGCCTTGCTTGGTCATACAATTACTGCAAGTGATGAGCCTGTATCTCTCCTCTCTTTCCAATTCAAAAAAATGCTGTCTGTACTATCTGCTGCCACAGCCTCTGCTCTCACTAACTGCTTACAAAAACATCACTTAAGTGAAACTTCTCTTCCTATAATTACTAAAGATCATTTAATTGCTAAACCAACAGCTTTTTTTCACTCATCATTCTTTCAATTACTTTTTTTCCAATCAGCAAAAATTCACTTTCTCTCCCTCCTACTTTCTCTCCCCAACTCAGAATGAAAGAAAATAAAACCCCAGATTACAAACATGTATACTCAAGCTAAAATATCTGCACTGGCCATGTCTAAAAATACATATACGTCTCATTCTAAAATTTGAGTCCTACACCTCATTATCAGGAAGTGGGTAGCATGTTTAATAATTAGTCCTCTGGAATCACTGTTAGCCATCATGATTTTCAGAATTTATAATTTTCAAAGTTGTTTGTCTATACCATATTGCTATATATAAATTATTCCTCTGATTCTATTCACCTTACCCTGCATCAGTTCACACAGGCCTTCCCAGGTTTCTCTATTTTTGCTTGTTTTTTTTTTGTTTGTTTGTTTTTGGTGAGGCAATTGAGGTTAAGTGACTTGCCCAGAGTCACACAGCTATTAAGTGTCAAGTGTCTGAAGCTGGATTTGAACTCAGGTTCTCCTGACTCCAAAGCTGGAGCTCTATCCACTGAGCCCCAAATTTCTTTGAAACCATCCATTTCATCATTTCTTACAGCACAATGGTATTCCATCACATTTATATATACCATAATTAGTTTAGCCAATCTTAAATTAATGGAAACTCCCATTTTTTGATTCCTTATAAGGAGCTAATTTTATTTTCCTCTAAACCAGGAGTGGGGAACCTGCAGCCTAGAGGCCACATGTGGCCCTCTAGGTCCATGGATGTGGCCCTTTAATGGAATCCAAAATGTGCTATTATAAATATTTTGGTGTATATGGGGCCTTTCTTATCAATGATCAGCTAGGATATATGCCTAGCACCACAATATATGGGTCAAAGTATATGGACATTTTAGTCACTTTATTTGCATAACTGCAAATTGTTTTCCAAAATGGTTGCACTAATTCACAGCTCCACCAATATAATACTGTGCCTTTCTTTCCACAACCTTTTCAACACCGACTATTCTCATGTTTTGCCTTATTTGTCAATTTGCTCGCATCCCAGAATTCTGACATAGGACTCTGAAACAAACTTTTGGAACACAAGTCATTTGAAAGTTGAGACCATATGTACATTTTTATAGGTTTTTAAAGTCTATTTCCATGAAGATTTGTAAATAAATGGTAGTTCATTTTTTAGAAAACAATTTACTATGTAGTTGTTTTCATTTAAGATTTTATGTTTGGGTTACCTATCCTATGTTTATCTGATTAGCTAATTCTTGAGTTGCCTCCAAACAGGATGACAGAAAAACATCTCAATTTTTTTAATGCAAGTACAGAATTTTTAAATGTTTTGAAATAATATTTTCAAAACTATGAAGCCAATACTTTTGTTCTCAAATACTAATAATTACTTCAGTGCGTCTGTGGTCTCATTAATTTGGATACTCTCTCTCAAGAATATAGATAACACTAGCTGTGTGACCCTGAGCAAGTCACTTAAACCCACTGCCTAGCCAAAAAAATATAGATAGATAGATAACAACCCATCCATTTCCTCATCCATTGTGACTTTTGGCCATATTCTCCCATAAATCCTGTATCGGGGCCCACGTACAGTGTTAGGGCCTTTCCCTATATTTCAACATTTTACAGCTTCCAATGCAGCACATTAATTATCCATCTATTAATGTTAATTCATGCTCTTCCTACATAATTAGCCCACCTCCTTTTCCAGTCATATAACAATCTGATAATAAATTTTATGTTGCTTTAAGTGTGCAGCTTATCATCCCTAATATACTGCTATTTATGCCCACCATCTTTCCATTAACCTTTAGGTGATCTGAACATTTGATTCTTTGGACAATGTAGTATCTTAGTACTCAAAGTCTTCCATATAGCATTACCAGAAGAATCTAGTGTTTAAAAAAAAATAGGATTTTGTTTCAAGGAGAAACCCAGAGTCATTGAAAATAATAAGCAATTTCCCAAAAGCAATATAACCTATTCAATTCTGGGTCCAAGTCATTTTCATCTGTAGGACCTGTCCAAGATACTAACGGACCAACTCTATGCACTCTCTACCCAACTACATGCATATCACGGTCTAGATAATAAGCATTCTTCATTCACTTGGCTTTTACTGTACAACTGTTAGGTCAAACCCTTCTGAGTAATTTTAGACCTTATTTAGGAGGCTCTGCAGAATTATAGGTCTTAAGGCAATTAGCAAAGTATCAACTACAAACAGGAGCCACTACACCATGAAATACTAGTCACATCACCTAAATGAATAACTGTTCACTGAAAGAACTGCACATAACCTCTGGTGTTATTTTTAAAGATGTCAACAGTATTTTCAGATTTATGATATGACACAAAAATCTGGCACAAGAACCAAAAATCCCAAACTGAGTTGCAGAAAGTAACTCCCCACAAAGTGGCTCTAGATATTTATCCTGGACACCTAGAATTGGAGCACACCCTACATGTAAATACTATCTTTCTTGACTATGATAAGAGTCATACCAACCCTTGCTACCATATTCTATTCGTAGGAAGTTCTGGGCACAGAAACATAAAATAATAAAAAAAAATCTTACTTTGGGCTAATTGAGATTATTCTTATAGATTTTTAAGTATAGGATTTGCAATCATATTAATACTCAAGTGGCAATTACCTGGAGATGGGGGAGGTTTTTCAAAAATTACATTTTCAGCAGATAGTTTTTCATCCTGAGGGGAAAAGAGTAAACCATTATATATAAAATCTTAATTTCTTCCACAAAAGGCAAAGAAGCATAATCATCAAAACATAAAGTTCATTATTTACCACATATATTAGGACCCAACTTCTTTTACTCTTATTCTATTGCTAATAGTTAATTTTAGCTTTGAGAACTTTAATATGGAGGGGCAGCTAGGTGGCACAGTGGATAGAGCACCGGCCCTGAAGTCGGGAGGATCTGAGTTCAAATCTGGCCTCAGATCAAACACTTGACACTTACTAGCTGTGTGACCCTGGGCAAGTCACTTAACCCCAATTGCCTAAAAGCAAAAAAACAACAACAACAAAAAAACAACTTTAATATGCCATATTTCTGATAAAAGAATCCCTGACCATAAAAAGGGATTTTCCTGTTAGTATAAAGGGAGTACAAGTCAAGTTTTCAGAGTTTTCTTCTTACTTCTATGAGTCAGTCAAGTAGTTGCGTACTCAAACCAAAACGTAAGTGGTTCTTCAAGAAAAAACTTTAATTCTCCAGGGGTTATATTTTTAAGCTAAATATTTCATTATTTGCTGTAAACTATAAAACAGAGATGCAAAATGTCATCTTTACAGAAGTACAATATTTCATGCGAATGCTCAAAAATTGAGCCTCTAAGATCTTAATCAGATGTCTCTACATGTCATGCAGGTGACCCTAGGGTCTCGGAGGCTGTGGGTACAAGCTCTGGAAAGTGCTACCAAACTGGGAGGGCTTTGAGCATGAGCTGGCCAAAGATTGCTGTATGAAGACCAACAAAACTAAGTGCCAAGAAGCCCACTACCAAAAGATTGGTCACCAGGTAATTAATATTTTTGTCCAAAATAATTCACCTTTAGCAAGGTGTAAGAAGTTGAAATCTGCATCAGCCATACCAACGAAATTGTCTCTCTTTTGAAATACTGAAGGAAGAAGCAACTCAAAAAATGGTGATGAAATGTTTTTTTTTTCAAAATGCTTGGAACAGAACGTAATAGAGAAATTCTTGTCTCACTGCATTTAAAACAGGATCAACAACTAGTAAGTAGAAACTTTGGAATTTTAATAATATTTTTCATTAATAATCTTCTTTGGAATGGTATTATGCTCCTAGTTTTTCCTAAAAAAGGATTTATGAGAAATAAACTCATTTAAAGATAACAGTAGCATGTGGTAAGTATTGCTGAGTAAATGACAGTTAGAAACACTTCCAGATTTGGAAATTACAATTATCATTAGAGCTATATATTTATCATGTAGACTGAGTCAACCATTTCTAATCTGAAATATTTGTTTTCCATCATGAAAATTAAAGAAAACTGAATTTCTTAGTGTTATGAAGGCAGTGAAATCAGACTCTCTAATATCAGTCATACATTCAAGCCATAAGAGGCATCTAATGGTTATGGTAGGAAGTTAAGTAACAACTTTAAAAATGATTTATATAATAATCTTACCTTTAAATTCTGAAGAGGATGTTTACCTTGTGATAAAGAAAATAAAACAGAACCTTTAAAAACAACAAATAAATTTTACTGTCATAAAACAACACCAAATCATATATCCACAAAGTTGGTAGTACTTCTTTAACATATTTAATTTAACTGATGCTAATTCAGTAAAGGCTGTAAGAAATATGATAGAGAACTCTCAAAATGGGAACTCTTTCCACCAGTGCAAAAGTTAACTCATCTATGACCTAGTGGATAGGTCCATTGAGTTGCCTAAGGTACACAGAAGTTTAGTGATTTAAGCAGGGTCACAAAAGAAAGACATATTGTAAAAGACAATATATGAGCAGAGGTCTTGACCCCAAGTCAAGCACCCTAACCACTGTTACACTGCCTCTTATTCATTTAAACTGATAACATAAGAAAAATACTGAAAATAAGTCACAGAATCATAGAATCTTACAGATAATATAGTTTAATCATCTCAATTTTATGAATGAGAAAAGCGAGTACCAGATAAAGGAAAGGACTTGTTCAAGGTCACATAGCTATTTAGTGGCTAACATGGGATGACAGTCCTGTCAAATGCTCTCTACACTGCCTTATGATGCCTCTTACATCATATTAAAATTGGACTTATTTCATATTTTAGATTTAACAATAACTGTACAAAGATCCTACAGACTTTCTTGTTTTTGAATTTAATGTTTGTTTCTAACCCACTCTTTAAATCCGTATTTGAGAAATTAATTACAAGTCAATTCTTCTGTTTTTTCTAAATATTAATTTGAAATAATCATGATCTCAGGTTCACTTAGAAAATTCTTGATTACCCCATCAATGAACTACCGTCTTTAGGAGTTAATGTAAACTGTTCCTTCGCATCTCTAAGGACTAGCACATGATTTGTCTTCATAGTGTCCCAAAACAAACAATCTGAGACCTTAGGTAATAATAAAAATAATGGTAATTATTTTGAAACCTTAGGTAATAACAACAATAATAACAGCTAGTGTTTATATGTCCCTTTAACATGTGCCCTGGGAGGTAGGTGCTATTATTATCCTCATTTTGCAGTTGAGAAAACTGAGTCAAAGAGAGATTAAGTGATTTGCCCAGAGTCACATAGCTAATATGTGTCTGAAACAGGATTTGAACTCAGGCCTTAACTCCAAGCCCAGCAGTCCATCCACTGAGTCACCTAGCTGTCCCAGTTGTCAGTCTTAGACTTTCAGAATTAAATGGAATTTTCAGAACCATCTAGTTTAACCCATTATGAAGGTAGAAATCCCCCTACTATATAATCCCTAATATGTGGATTTCTTACAGATGTATTTTTTCAATTCAATTTATTTAAGCTTCAAAGAAACTTTTCTAAAGGTATATTTCTAAAGGCAGGGCGCTAAGCTTAGTGAATACAAAGAAAAAAGCAGATCAATACCTACTATGAAAGAGCTTACAATGTACCATGAATACAGCTAAGTAAAGTCAAAGAAATTTAAGGAAAGGGAGTGCACTACCACCTGGGAATAACAAAGAAGGTTCTGCATGGCATCAAGAAGGAGGTGTCATCTAAGCTGATCCTTTGAAGGAAGATAAGAATTCTGAGAAACAGAGATGAGATGAGAAGAGAGTGCATTCTAGGCATGGGAAATAACTTACGTAAAGCATAGCACATGTTAGGAAGTAAAAGGCTAGAAACATAAGTTGGAGCCAGATTATGGAAAGACTTAAATGTCAGGCTAAGATTGTCTTTTATCCTGGAAGTAATAAGGAGTCACTGAGGGTTTTGAGCAGTGGTCAGATCTTGCCTTAAGAAGATAATTTTGGCAGCTATGTGGATGTGAAGACGGAGGAGCCTGGAAATACCTTTTAACAAACATACACAATCAAATAAATTCCTGCCCCATGCTCCTTTAGCTATAATCCTTTATGCCAGTGATCATGTCCAGGCAGATGTTAGCTGCTTACTGTCTGGGGTTAATCTTGTCTCTAAGGATTTTGTGGCACTGCTCTGATCACTACCATGGCTATGCTTGATGTGATCTTGGGCCCTCAATTCTCCTTCTGTACCAGAAAAATAAGAGTATAGTGTATCTCACAATGCTTGGAAAGAACCTGTTTGACTGGGGACTTGCCACTGTAATTAGAAGCTCTCTAAATTCAATTGGGGGGGCGGGGAGAAGAGAGAGATTTAGCTAAAACTGTGAACTCCTCAAGGGCAGGGGTTACCTTTTGCCTTTCGTTGTTTCACCAGCACTTAGCACAGCTCCTTGCACACAGCAGGTACTTAATAAATACTTACTGACTGTCTAAAAACATGTTAAATTTGAATTATTAAAAAAAACCAAAAACAAACCAACCACCAAGATATACATAGTGGGGAAAACGGAATAAGCTTACAGTTTTAAACAGAATTCCCCTTTTTGTGTTTCTTTGTGTATTTAAGTTTTTAATCAAAAAAATTTTTTAAAGAAAGGTCACATTGGGCTAACCTTATTTCCTTTTTTGATAGGATTATTACTAAACTCATAGATCAGGGGAATACTGAAGCTATAAATCTAGACTGTAGTTAAAGTATGTGATAGAGTCTGACATGCTATTCTTGTGGACAAGATGGACAACTACTAGACAACAGTGAAATCAAACGGATTTAGAACTAGTTGAATCACCAGACTCAAAGAACAGTAATGACTGCTAGTTTGATACTGATTTAGGAGGATATTCTTATCTCTTTTGTTGTTGTTGTTGTTGTTGTTGATTTTTTTTGGTTAGGCAATGGGGTTAAGTGACATGCCCAGGGTCACACAGCTAGTAAGTGTTGTATGTCTGAGGCTGGATTTGAACTCAGATCCTCCTGACTCCAGGGCCAGTGTTCTATCCACTGCACCACCTAGCTGCCCCCTAGGAGGATATTGTTTGGTCCTGGGTTATTTAACATTTTTAATTAATGACTTTGATAAAGGCACTGATGGCATATTTATCAAATTTGCACATGACACAAAGTTGGGAGGGATCATTATCAAACAGATAACAGAATATGAATCCAAAAACATTTGACAAGCTGGAATGAAAGGCTGAATACAGTATAATTTAAAAGGGAAAAGGCTGAAATACTGCATTTTGATTAAAAAAAGTAATTGCACAAATACAAGATGGAGAGCAACATAGCTAGAAAGGAGTACATAAGAAAATGCCCAGAGGTTTCATTATAAGTCAAAGGTGTTGTGTGGCAACTAGCAAAGCTAATGTCATCTTGGAAGCATTAAGAGAAAGAAGATGTCCAGAATGAGAGAAGTGATAGTCCTATGATACTCCTGATTAAACCACATCTGAAGTACTGTGCCCAGTTGTAGGCACCACAATATAGGCAAGACATTGAAAACATTACCCCAAAAATGCAACAGAATACAGAAACACACATTGCTAAACATTTTGAAAATGTCTCCTTTGCTTTTAAATAGAGGTACTTAGGTGTACTAATATACCTCAAGTCAAAATGAATAAAGATGTTTTCCCCTCCAAGTACAGTAACATTTTTTAGACTGGAATTTTTTACCTTAAAAAAAAATTCTTACCTTTCACTTGCAATGATCCAACTTCCAAATTTGGGAATTCGCTTTGTTCAGAAGTAGTTCCATCCTTTTCAGTATAAGCCCTAAAAACCAATGGATCTGTGTCCTAGATTTAAAATGATAGCAAACAGATACGACATGAGTCTTCTGTGCAAAAAGGCATTCTTTGTCATAACAGCAGGAAGGAAAATTGACATATTAAGTAGTTGATAGGTCAATGCCAAATTCAACTGTTCAATAACTATTTAGTGAATACCAATTTTATAACTACTTCTAGGCTAAGTCTTGTTAGTAAAAAAAAAAGTATGATGCAAGCTTACAAGTATACTAGAAAGATAAGAATTATATACATAAACTAAAAAATAAATTAAATAAAAAATATAAAAATAAAAAAACAAACAACAAAAGTAAATAACAAAAATAAATAAAAAATAATATCTTATGCTTCATTATCTGTGACAGAACCTATCCCAGACGTGCTTTTTTTTAAACTCTGACCAGAAAACATACAGAAATTAAACATGCATGACAGATGAGATGAGAGGTCATAACCATAACTAACAGCACATATCTTAAGCATGGTTGTTGAGAAATAACATCACTTTATGGCTATACCTTTATTAAATGCCTAATCAAATTCTTAAAATTTGTTTCAAGTAAATTTAATACTGTATATTAAAATCTAGATTTATACAGATACAAATTAGGAAATGTCCCTCCAGTACCTCCTCTTCCATGTACCTAACTGCCCTGACTGCACTACAACACTACTTTACACTTCTCTTACTGTATTTTCCAAATTCTACCTTGTATTATTGTCATTCATATACATGTTTTATTTCTCTTACTAGATTATAACCTTCAATAGTACTGGGATAAGGTCTTGTTTCTGTAGTAACTCATAGTAACTGTCTCATGGTAAATGGCTCATAGTAACTACCACTAAGCCTTGTACTAGACATTGTAGGTTCTCAGTAAATATTTCTAAACAATTATTTGCTTTACAAAGGCTAGAAAAGAATTACATTAAACATCAAACCTCACCAAGAACATTTAAAATGCAATTCACCTTATTAATATGAATTATATGAATCTTTTCAGGAACATATCTAAGATATAAAAGGAGAGATTCTAAGTCACTTTCTTGATAAGTTCAAATGTTAAGCCACAATGGTTAAAATGTTATGGTTTTAATTAATTAAACACCTTACTATGGTCCAATAATAAGAATAAAAAATTAGTAAATTAATTAGGATTTTATATGAAATTCTACTGTCCAGGCTAATTCTTTAAGTAATGTTATTATCTTTAAATTGATTAGTACCCATAAGAAAATGAAAATGTGCTCACATTTCATGCATTTTGCATTTCAGAGCAAGAAATACAGGCTTAGAAAATATTTTTCATGTGTTATAACTATTTGACATCTGAGGCACCCATGTGACACAGTCAATACTGTTGCATCTGGACTGAGGAAGACCTGAGTTCAAATCTGGCCTCATACACTTCATAGCTGAGTGACCCTGGACAAGGTGCTTAAATTATCTAAGCCTCAGTTTCCTCATCTGTAAAATGAGGATAATAATAACACTTACTTATCCCAGGACAGTCATGAGAATAAAGTTAGATAATATCTGTAAAGTGCTTTTCAAACTTTAAAGTGCTATATAAATGCTAGCTATCATCATCATCATCAAGAATAGGGTTAAAATATGACTGTCTTTAAAAATGGAAGTTTAAATGAACCTTGATTTTTAATTTGTTAATTATTTTTTCTTACAGAACACAATAAACAGTTTTCTGGCTGTCACATGACTAAAGAGTTAAAACATTTATGTTTGGTTTTTCTGATATTTCTTCTAGTCATAACCTTTATCCCCAACCTCTGACCAGAACTTCATTCCCATGTTACTCACTGCCACAAACTTAACATATCAAAAATTAATCCCTTCCTTCTCCAATTCCTACTGTATTTGCCTATGACTAACTACTGTTATCCTGTTTAAGAGATTTAAATACAGTACAGAAAGTTTCACTCTATAAAGTATATGGTCAAATCATTTATACAACTTTAAATAAAGGTTAAATAAGATATTTTTGGTCATTTCTATAAAAAGCATGCACCAGGGCTCCTTAAGTACAAAGTAATAGGTCAATACACGATAGCTAAATGACTAAAAGCATACATTTATACCACAGCAGTGATTACAAGAAGCTAATGAAAAGGCATTAAACATTATATAGTCTAGTTTCCCTCCCTACCCCTAAAAGACCCCTCAAAAAATTTCTTTTCAGAAAATTAGATATAAGTCCAAACTGTCAAAGTCAAGTCAAAATTTCCTGGTCAAGCTCAAGTTCCACTTTGAAATGATGACTAGACTAGGGACAGGCAAGACGGCAGAACAAAGTCAGGGACTCACCTGAGCTCTCCCAAATTCCCCTCCAAAAACTGTTAAAAATAATTACTCAAAACAAATACTGAAGTGGCAGACCCCACCCTGCAAAAAAGGACGAGGTGAAACAATTTTCAAGCCAACAACAACTTAGAAAGTCAACTGTAAAGTTCTGTCTCACTGAGGTGAGAATGGAGCACAGTCTAGCGCAGACTGCATTACTGCAGGCCACACCTGAGGAAGTCAGCAGCAAGTCTCAGAGGCATATAAACAGGCAGCTACAGCTTCTGGAGCTCTCGGCCTATAGACCATAAGGGGATCAAAAAACTAGTCAGAAGGAGATTACAGAAGGCTCTCTACTAGCACTGAGTATAGCACTCTGTTGCATTACCTATAAGTGGCTGCATTCCCTAGCAGGAGCAGGGACCCTGATCACTATTCTAAGACAGATAAAGAGTGTTTGTGCTTGCTCACAGGCTGGAGAACATTCTAGGAAAGCAGTGACCACAGCTCCTTAGATCATACCACCTTGAAAAAGCTGAAAATTTACAGACCCCCCAGAACTATTTCTGAAAGCAGCAACATGAAAAAGCTGAACCATGGGATGGTGCCCCCTCCACAATGGGAGCAGAGCCTGAGTTAAAAGTCAAAAAATAGGCTGGGAAAATGAGCAAACAACAAAAAAAGAACCTAACCATGGAAAGTTGTTATGGTGACAGAGAAGAGCAAAATACAAACTCAACAGACAAAAAAATGTCAAAACAGGTACATATAAAGCAGGAAAGCAAAATGCAAATTGGTCTCAGACCCATAAAGAATTTGGGGAAGAGCTCGAAAAGGATTTGAAAAATCAAATAAGATAGGTAGAGGAAAAACTGGGAAAAGAAATGAGTGACACATGAAAATTATGGAAAAAAAATCAACAGCTTGGTAAAGGAAGCATCAAAAAAAAATATTGAAAAAAGTAACACCTTAAAAAATAGGCCAAATGGTAAAAGAGTTACAAAAATCCAATGAGGAGAATGCCTTGAAAAACAAAATTGATCAAATGAAAAAAGATGGACAAAATTCACTGCAGAGAAGAACATCTTAAAAAGCAGAACTGGCCACATGGAAAAACAGGTATAGAATTCACTGAAGAGAGGAACTCCTTAAAAAGCAAAATTGACGGAATGGAAAAGGAAGTACAAAAGTTCACTGAAGAAAATAATTCCTTAAAAATTAGAACTGGGCAAGTGGAAGTTAATGACTCCATGAGACATCAAGAAACAAACAAAATCAAAAGAATGAAAAAAAAAAAGAGAAGACGATATAAAATCTCTCACTGGAAAAACAACTGACCTGGAAAAGAGATCCAGACAAAATTAGTTAAGAATTATTGGACTACCCAAAAGCCATGAGCAAAAAAAGCCTAGACATCATATTTAGAAAAATTACCAAGAAAAACTGCCCTGATATTCTAGAACCACAGGGTAAACAGAAATTCAAAGAATCCACTGATCACCTCCTGAAAGAGATCCCAAAATGAAAACTCCCAGGAATATCCAGAGCTCCCAGGTTAAGGAGAAAATATTGCAAGCTGCCAGAAAGAAACAATTCAAATATCATGAAGCCATGATGAGGGTAGCACAAGATTTAGCAGCTTCTACATTAAAAAATCAGAAGACTTGGAATAGGACACTCCAGAGGGCAAAGGAGCCAGGATTACAACTAAGAATAACTTACCCAGCAAAACTGAGTATAATACTTCGGAAGAAAAAATGGATATTAAATGAAATAGAGGACTTTCAAGCATCCCTGATGAAAAAACCAGCACTGAACAGAAAATGTGACTTTCAAATACAAGACTCAAGAGAAGCATAAAAAGGTAAACAGGAAAGAGAAATTATAAGGGAATCAATAAGGTTCAACTATTTACATTCTGACACAGGAAGATGATTCTTGTAACTCCCAAGAACCTTCTCATTATTAGGGCAGTAAGAAGGAGTATACATAGACAGAGGGCACAGGTGTGAGCTGAATATGATGGGATGGTTACCTAAAAAATAAAATTAAGGGTTGAGAAAGAGGAAGGGAAAGGGAGAGTTAGAATGGGATAAATTATCTCACATAAAAGAAGCACAAAAGCTACCTACAGTTATATGAAAAAAATGCTCCTAAATCACTGTTGATTAGATAAATGTATATTAAAACAACTCTGAAGCATGACCTCACACCTATCAGATTGGTTAATATGACAGAAAAGAAAAATGACAAATATTAAGGGGATGTGGGAAAATTGGGACACTAATGAACTGTTGTTAGACACTGATCCCATTATTCTACAGAGCAACTTGAAACTATGCCCAAAGGTTTATAAAACTGTGCATACACTTTGACTAAGCAATACCACTCCTAATCTCAAAGAGATTTTTTAAAAAGGAAAAGAAAAGAGAAAAGGATCTATATGTATAAAAATAGTTATAGCAGCTCCTTTTATGGTGGCAAAGAAGCGGAAATTGAGGGGATGTTCATCAATTGGGGAATGGCTGAACAAATTGTAGTAGATAATTATGATGGAATAGTATTGTGCAATAAGAAATGATGAGCAGAATGTTCTCAGAAAAACTTGCTAAGACTTACATAACTGATATAAAGTGAAATGAGCAGAACCAGAACACTGTACACAGTAACAGCAATACTGTAAGATGATCAGCTGTGAATGACTTAGCTATTCTCAGTAAAACAATTATCTAATTGTTCTGAAGGACTCATATCTACTGAGTTCTGAAGGACTATCCACCTCCAAAGAAAAAAAATGGATGGAATCTGAATGCATATTTCTTTATTTTCTTGGTTTTTTTGTTTTATCTTTGTGTTTCCTTTCACAAAATAGCGAATATGGAAACATTTTTTGCATGACTGCCCACGTACATCCTATACCAAATTGCTTGCCTTCTCAAATGAAAGGCTAGTAGAGGAAGGGACGGAGAGAATTTGGAACTCAAAATTTTAAAAAACGAATGTTAAGAACTGTTTTTAAATGTTATTGGAAAAAAACAGAGTTTTTTAAAAAACTACACTAAAAAAAAAAGAAATGATGACTAAACATGATTGACACTCCTGATGTGGCCACATTTAACAACTGGGAAAGGCATTGTTTTCAAATCAATAGAAAACAGGTTAAATGCTAAAGGCACAAGTATGCACATAGTACACAGAGAATCAAAGGGAAAAATCAATTTCAAACTTTAATTTTCAACAAGAAACAACTGATTATAATCAACAAAAAGGAAGATGAGAAAAAAATATGTCCAGTTTCCATAAAAAAATTAAACTTCTTATTTACAGATTTCCGAAAGCATAAGGCTTAATAAACTGAGATACAGAAAAATACTAGAAGAGTACTTTAAAAATCACCAATACAAGAAATGACTGAAGTTCCAACTCCTAACATTTGACATAAGGGCAAACTTTTGATACACTATCTAAAGTCATGACTGAGGAACACTGGCAATTAACAGAAAATTAGATTTAGATAACAAAGAATAGTTCAATATTACTACCTTTATGTGAAAAATATAAATTAAGAAGAAAAGATAGGAATTAAAACAAACAAGCAGCATAGTGCAATACAAAGAATTCTGGATTTATAGTCACAGGAACTTGTTTGAATATGAACTGTGCTACATACTGTTGATGCAAACCAATCAAGTCATTTAACCTCTCTGGGCCTCAGTTTCCTCTTGTCTTTCATCTCTTAAGTCCCTCACAAGGGATCAAAAAAAGATAATATTTGTGAAGAACTTTGTAAATAACACAGTAAAGCACTGTGTATAATTATTAGTTTTTATTATGATAATGATCTTAATGTTTTTCAAACACCTACTACAGAATAGGGAATTCCTAATTACTAGGAATACAGTGATGAAAGAGCTTACCCTTCTATCTTTGAAAGACTTAGGAGGCTAAAGAAATAAAATTTCAGTTAATTAATACTGATGGTCTTCAGTTTTCATAGCAATTACAAAAAACCTTTTGGAAAACACCCTAAATACCTTACAAAAAGGAGACTGGCCAAGCAAACTGTGTATGTGAATACAACAGAATACCATAATTACAAAAATGACAAATATACTCTTTGACAATGACAAACAGTTCAAATGACTATGTCAATACAAGGAAACGCATATTTGAAATTTTGAAGAGCCTGAAGCAGAATTCAAAAGGTAGCTTCTGCAACGATGCGTAAAAGTATTCTTTTGAATATGGCCCATGGGGGAAATGTGTTTTGCTCTACTGCACATGTTTATAACAGTGGCTTGATTTTTCTTGCTTTCTCAAGGCTGGTGGGGAAAGGAAGGGAAATGGGAAGGAAAAGATCTTTGTTTCAAAATAAAATTTAATTAGAAAAAACGTGAATGGATGGTAAAGTTTAGAATAGAATTAGAGCATTTAAAATTTATGACTAGGTTTCTGTCAATAGTTTACACTTATAATTTTTAAAAAGAAGGCAACTCATGTTGAAAATAATTACCATCAATAACAAAACAGATTAACAATTCTGAAAATAATTCACCACAGAAATATTTTCAGGGTACAGAAATTTTTTAAGATGCAAAAAATACCTTTTTACTTCTGTGTGGAACAGCGTAAATAGCATCCTCAAAATTGTTTTCTTTTTTCTGAGTACTGAGATCAATACGTTCACTGTAACTGTCAGAGAGATATGTCTCAACATCTTCATCTTCATCTTCATCCTCACTATAGCCTGACATTTTAAAGGCTGGTAAAGAATATCTTTTTTCCTGCACATCTGGCCACTCTGGTCTATGAATGAAAACACAATATTTTAAAAGAGTTTAAAATAAACCATTTAATACTTATACTTCATCTGCTAAAATGCAAAATACCCTGTGGAAACCGTTTATACTACAAGCACCTAAGAACATTCATATCTGTAAGAAAGAAAAGTTCAAATCTTAATATGTTTTCATGAACTACATAAAAATAATTCTTCATATATTTATTTTAAAACAGAATCGACAAAAATCTCAATCTACCATCATCTAGAATTATTAAAGCATAAGAAAACAGCCCAATAATATCAAAAAGGAAGAAAATTTTTAAGGAAAATTTACTAGGACTGATCGATGAGATGTCTCTAAATTTAAATCATAACAGACCATAAATGATTGGGCTTTTTTTTCTTATGCCTTAAACAAGAGGTTCTCATGCTAAGCACAAAAACAATTTGGTTTTCAGTGAAATATTGAGGTCCATCTTAAGGAAAATTTTATTCTCAGTAGGTAAGCCAATCAAATGACAAATCCATTTGACTATCCTTCACAGTGGTCACAACTGTGCCCTTCTCTTTATTCATACTATTACCAACCTAGTTGAAGCACCTCTCTCACCTTTCAACTAGACTATCACAATAGCTTCCTAACTGGTTTTCCTCCCTCCAGTCTTCCCCCTTTGGTCAGGCATTGTGCTAAGCACTGGAGTTACAACTGAACCTTACACCACACATGCTGAATCCCTAAACAGAATATAAACTTCTTGACATGTATCCAGAGCAACTAGCAAAGACCCTTATATGTAATTAGTGCATAAAAAATGTTAAAGCAAACTGAGATAACAAAATAGAGCTCTACTTTGATCCAATATTTATTCAGCTATCTGGTAACAATATTAGAAAGGAAAGAGGGCCACCCTCTTTTCAATCTGTTGTAATGAAAATTTAGTATTAATATTTTCCAAAAAAAAAGCCTCTATCAAACCGTATCTTTAGGGTTAACTGTTACAAGAAACAAAACAAAACAAAACATAACAGAAATATGATGCTACCCAGGTCTGAACTCGGTTACAGTTGCATAAGGTTCAATGACGCCACTATCTCCTTCCAGGTATGTTGTATCACTTTCAGAATGTGATCTACGAGTAGGCTGAGGAATAGCGAAAGTCCTTCCGGTTAATGTGGACACCAGGATGGCTGCAGCAAGGGCAGATCTAGATAAGATATAAATATAAAACAGTTAAACATTAACCCATGAAGATAGGTTCTGAAGGCATACATTGGTACCTCAACCAAGCAAAAAATGATGACATATGTGTGTGCATGTATATGTACATGTATATGTGTATATATATGTATGTACATATATATATACATAACAGAAAGATAAGCTATATTTTAAATATATATATATCGCTTTTGTAATATTCATGCATTACTAATGGCAAAGATCAGTTGAAAATACATAAAAATATATCTATATGATTAAAATATATATAACAGGGGCGGGTAGGTGGTGAAGTAGACAGAACTCCAGCCTCAGAGTCAGGAGGATCTGAGTTCAAATCTGGCCTCAGACACATAACACTTACTAGCTGTGTGACCCTGGGCAAGTCACTTAAGCCCACTGCCTAACCAAAAAAAAAAAAGTGTGTGTGTGTGTGTGTGTGTGTGTCTGTGTGTATCATTTTAAATTTCTGACAAGACACACATTAGTCTAGAATTTTTTTTTTAAATTTTGGTACAAATCACCTAAATCATTATTGTAGATAAGATCCCTTCATTTGGATCCCCCATATCTGTATTGAATTTTTTTATCTTGATTATGAAGCTTCTGAGTTTTATAGCTAAGTTACTAAATAATGAAAAGAAGATATTAAAGAGACTTTTGGCAATATTAGCAATGGTTATTATGACAGTTCTGCTCCATAATCTAAATCCTTAAAAAAAAAACACCACACAATTTTGTCAAAAAAGATAACCTCAAAATATCAAAAGAAAATCATCATGAAAAAAGGAACAATAAAAGAAACTTTTCTTTTCAAAAAAGAAAACTTGTATGCAATTTATAAAATTATGGAATAAAAGAAATCTAAGAAGGCATATGAAGAAAAGAACAATAAATTAATATTAATGAAGCCACAAGAAATGAAGCTACAGCAAAAAGCAGAGTATAAGAAATAAAGGAAGATATGGCCACAGTGAGAAGAACTGAGATGTTTGTTGCTGTTATTTTTTTAAGGGGAATAAGATTAGATGATAATAAAATTCAGCAACATAGATAATATAAATAAATATTTTAAATGAAGAATAGAATTGTCTTGCTCTACTTTCCTCCCTTCTTTGTAGAAGCAAATGGACCATGGGTGTGGAAAATTTAATATACTATCAGACACAGTTGATATGTTACTTAACATTGGTTGTTAGTTAATTTTGCTTAACTGCTTTAATTTTGCTTCTTTAGTACTAGAGATGACTCTCTAAGAATTGTAGGCTTATTTGGAAATTAAGCTGATAGAAAAACAAAAAATACTGATTAAAGAATGTTTTTTAAAGAATTATCCTGCTGAAGGGGCAGCTAGGTGGTGCAGTGGATATAGAATGCCAGCCCTGGGCGTCAGGTGGACCTGAGTTCAAATCCAGTCTCAGACCAGACACCTGACACTCACTAGCTATGTGACCCTGGGCAAGTCACTTAACCCCAACTGCCTCAAAAAAAAAAATCCTGCTGAAAGAAAAATGGCAGAAGAAGCAAAGTAAGCTAAAAAAATTCAGTGAAAGTAGAGGAAAACTTGATAAACTTTAAAAACTTAGAAACCACCTGTTGAATATTTACACCCAGATATCCCATAAGCAACTAAATTCAACAAGTTCAAAACAGAATATTATCTTTTCCTCCAAAATGCCCCTTCTTAACCACAATCTTTTTTTTAGTGTTTTATTTTTCCCGTTACATGTAAAAACAATTTTTAACACATTTGTTTTTAAAATTTTGAGTGACAAATTCTCTCCCTCCCTTCCCACCCCCCTCATGGAGAAGGCAAGAAATTTAATACATGTGTAATTTAACATATGTACATTAATACGTGTTATACATGTGTGGTCATACAAAACATATTTCCATATTAATAATGGCATAAAAGAAAACATAAAAAGAAAAAGTTTTAAAAAGTATGCTTTTATCTGTATTCAGACTCTATCAATTCTTTCTCTGAGGATGGATAGCATTTTTCATCATAGGTCCTTCAGAGCTGTCTTAGATCATTGTATTGCTGAGAATAGGTAAATCAATCATCACAGTTGAATATCTTACAATATTGCTATCACTGTGTACAATGTTCTCCTGGTTCTACTAATTTCACTTTGCATCAGTTATTATAAATCTCCCCAGGTTTTTCTGAAAAGAACCTGCTCATCATTTCTTATAGCACAACAGTATTGCATCATAATCCTATACCACAACTAGTTCAGCCATTTCCCAAGTGATGAACATCCCCTCAATTTCTATTTCTTTGCCACTATTAAAAGAGCTGCTATAAATATTTTTGTACATATAGGTCCTTTTCCTTTTTGCTTTTTTATTTCTTTTGGTATACAGACCTAGTAGTGGTATTGCTGGGTCAAAGGGTATGCATGGTTTTATAACCCTTTCAATCTAGTTCCAAATTGCTCTACATAACAGGTGAATCAGTTCAGAACTCCCAACACTGCATTAGTATCTCAATTTTCCCACATCCCCTCCAACATCTGTCATTTTCCTTTTCTGTCCTATTAGCCAATCTAAAAAGTATAAGATAATACCTCAGAATTGTTTTTCAGTTGCATTTCTCTAATCAATAGTGATTTAGAGCATTTTTTCATATAGCTATAGACAGCTTTTTTTTTTTGAGGCAATGGGATTAAATGACTTGCCCAGGGTCACACAGCGAGTGAGCGTTATGTGTCTGAGACTAGATTTGAATTCAGGTCTTCCCAACCCCAAGGCCAGAGCTCAATCCACTGTACCACCAAGCTGCCCCGTATAGACAGCTTTGATTACTTCATCTGAAAACTGACTGTTCATATCTTTTGACCATTTATCAATTGGGGAATGGCTTTTATTTTTATAAATTTGATTCAGTTCTCTATGTATTTGAGAAATAGTCCTTATCAGAGAAACCTGCTTCAAAAAAATTTTTACAGTTATGATTGAACCATATTTCCCTCTATCTTATTTCCGTTTACTCTATTCTCTCTCCTTTCACCCTGTCCATCCTCAAAAGTATTTTGCTTCTGACTTTTACCTCCCCTAATTTGTCCTCCCTACTATCAGTCCCATTCACCCCATTCTTTTATCCCCTTTCCCTCCTACTTTGCTGTAGGTTAAAATAGATTTCTATATCTGAGTGTGTACATTATTCCCTCTTTGAGCCATTCTGATAAGAGTAAGATTCAAGCACTGCCTACCATCCCCTGCATGTGGTATGTAGAGTCCTATTCCACTGTAGAAGCTCTTTCTTGCCTCTTTTATGTGAGATAATTTACCCCATTATCCTTTCCCTTTCTTCCAGTGCATTCTTCTTTCTCACCCCTTAATTTTACTTTTTTAGATATCCCATCATATTCAGCTTACACCTGTGCCCTCTGTCTATATATACTCCAACTGCCCTAATAATGAGAAAGTTCTTATGATTTATAAGCATCATCTTCCCATGTAGGAATGTAAGCAGTTTAACCTTATTAAGACAGCCATGGGAAAAAGGCATTTCAAGCACAGGAATGAAAAAAGGCACAAAGTTAAAAAAAGATGAGACATACACAGGAGAGTATAAATAGCCCTGTTTGACTGGAGTGTAGAATGGAAGGAGATAGGGCTGGAAAGATAAGGCAACCAGACTGTGGAGAGTCCTGAATCCCAGACTAAGTATTTGTTACTTTAATTCTAAATACAGAACCAATAAATTTGATTTCCTAAATAAATTTACCTGCAAAGGAGAAAGAAAAAAATGCACTAAGCAAACAATATGTCTATTTCTGTCCATTTGGCAGTTTTGTTTCTCAATATAAAATTAATAAATCATCATTCTTGTTCATCAATTTTCTTCTCAATTCAACATTAAATTTATTTGATATTTCTATATGAAGAGCACTAGGGATGAAAATAACACAATCTTTGCCATAAAGGAGCTAATAATCTTCCAGGGGGAAAGAGACATACATTAGTAATTCTAACCTGTGATTTCTTTAGTATAGGCACTCCCAGTGTCTCAAACCATTTATAAAGTTGCTCAGAGAAGCAAGTGGGAGATTGGGAGACTTTAAATGACTTGCCATGGTCACATGACCAGCCCATGTCACATGCAAGGTTCAAAAGGAATCAGTCTTCCTAACTCCAAGCCTAGGACTCTACCTACCACACGGTGTCAATTCTTAGTAAAAATTAGACACATACACAAAAAAATTTCTCCTTACTACCCTTCCTAGGGATGCTGGTCTCCCTGCTGTTCTTGAACAAGATACTCCCAGCCAGGCATTTTCCCTGGTTGTCCCTCCCCACCTCTGCTTCTCAGCTTCCCTAGATTCCTTCAAATCTCAGCTAAAATACCAGTTTCTACAAGAAGCCTTTTTCAGTTCCCTTTAATTCTGTGCCTTCCCCCTGTTATCTCCAATTTAGCCGGTATGTATTTTGTTTACACAGTTGTTTGTATGTTGTCTCCCCCAAGAGTTTACAAATTCCTTGAAAGCAGAGAATGTTTTCTGCCTTTCTTTATATCTCTAGTGCTTAGGACAGTGCATGGCACATAAAAAATATTTTTTACTTGATTAGTTTACACTGTGCACAACAGAGTTAAAACAAAATTTAAACTAACCTAGGTCTTTCTGGAGAAGGATCTGGACTACGAGGTGGAGGTGTTCGAGGAACTGCTGGTCTGGGTGCTATGGTAGCTGCAGGAACAAGGCCATGAATTATGTGTTTCTAGACAAACAAAAAAATATCAAGTAGTCAGGAACTCTGAAGAACATAAAAGTTAGAAAAAATCATAAAAGTTAGAAAATAAACTCATACGGTGAAGACGCTCACTTAACATTTGGTTTGCCATACATTCAGAGCCAAGAAAGAATTAAAAAAAATACATATCTGTACTAAATCAGCTACAGCAAATGCCTAACTGCGGACTAGCCTCAGTCACCCAACTCACGTCCTAGACATCTCTCCCAAATAACAATTAGTGTATGCTCAGGGAATGTATTTAAATATTAAGCTAAAGTTAGAGGGAGGAAAGGAAGAAGATGAGAAGGGGAAACTGTGATGGTTTTTTTGCTGGAGTCTCATACTATGAGATCCCTCCTGGATGGAATAAGCAATGAGAAGAAATAGAAGAAAGCAATGGAATAGAAAAGACAAGAGTTTTCCTCAAGAAAATTAGAGATATCAAGGGAGCATTTCATGAAAAAATGGGCATGATAAAAGACAAAAATTGTAAGGACTTAACAGAAACAGAAAAAATTAAGAGGTGGCAAGAATACACGAAAGAATTATACAAGAAAGATCTTAATATCACCGGTAACAACAATAGTGTGGTCAATAGCTAGAGACAGACATCCTGAAGAATGAAGTCAAGTGGGCTTTAGGAAGCACTGCTAACAATAAGGCTAATGGAGGTGATGGAATTCCAGCTGAGCTATTTAAAATCGTAAAAGATGATACCTTTAAAGTGCTCCACTCAATATGCCAGTAAATTTGGAAAATTCAATAGTGACCACTTGATGGAAAAGATCAGTTTACATCCCAATCCTAAAAAAAAGGCAATGCTAAGAAATGTTCAAATTACCAAACAATTGCACTCATTTCACATGCCAGCAAGGTTATACTTAAGCTTTTGCAAGCCAAGGTTCGGCAATATGTGAACCGATAATTACCGGAAGAGCAGGCAGGTTTTCAAAGAGGCAGAGGAACTAGAGATCAAATTGCCAACATTCACTGATTACGGAGAAAGCAAGGGAGTTCTAGAAAAACATCTGCTTCTGCTTCATTTACTATCCTAAAGCCTTTGACTATGTGATCACCACAAAAATGTGTCAAGTCCTCAAAAAGTTGACAGTATCAGATCATCTTACTTTATCTCTTGAGGAACCTGTATGCAGTCCAAGAAGCAATAGTTAGAATCGAACATGGCACAACTGATTGGTTTAAGATTGGAAAAAGAATACAAAAAAGCTGTATACTGTCATCTTATTTATTTAACCTATATGCAGAGCACATTATACGAAATGCTAGGCTAGATTAATTAAAGGCTGGATTAAGGTTGGCAGGAGAAATATCAACATTTTCAGACATGCAGAAAATACCACTGTGATGGCAGAAAGTGAAGATAAGAATGACACTCCTAAAAACTTTCTCATTATTAGGGCAGTTAGAAGGAGTATACATAGACAGAGGGTACAGGTATTCGTCGAATATGATGGGATGATTATCTAAAAAAAATAAAATTAATAGGTGAGAAAGAATACACTAGGAGAAGGTGAAAGGGAGAGGTAGAATGAGGTAAATTATCTGACATAAAGGAAGCCCAAAAGAGAGGGGAAGAAGGGGGAAAAGTGGAAAGTAGCACATGAATCTTACTCTCATTGGAACGGTTTCAAAGAGAGAATAACATACACACTCAGTTGGGTGTAGAAATCTATCTTACCCTAGAGAAAAGTAGGAGGGGAAAGGGATAAAAGAAGGGGATGGTAGAACTGAAAGTAGGGAGGATGGACTGGGAGAGGTAAAAGTCAGAAGCAAAACACTTAAGAATGGACAGGGTGAAAGGAGAAAGAGAGTAGGATAAACAGGGGAAAAACAGGATGGAGGGAAATACATAGCTGGTAATCATTACCGTGAAAAAAAAATTTACAGCAAGTTTCTCTGATAAAGACCTCATTTCTCAAATATATATAGAAAAATGAGTCAAATTTATTAGAATACAAATAATTCTCCAATTGATAAATGGTCAAAGGATATGAACAGGGAGTTTTCAGAGAAAGAAATTAAAGCTATCTATAGTTATATGAAAAAATGCTCTAAATCACTATTAGAAAAATGAAAATTAATAGTACTCAGAGGTACCACCCCCATACCTATCAGATTGGCTAACATAACCAAACAAAAAAAAGGAAAATGACAAATGTTGGAAGAGAGGTGGGACATGTGGGATGAGACATTAATGCACTGTTGGTAGAGTTGTATACTGACTCAACCATTCTGTAGAGATGAAATTATGCCCAAAGGGCTATAAAACCATGTATATACACACCCTTTAACCCAGCAGTACCACTACTAGGTCTGTATCCCAAAGAGATAAAAAAAATAAAGGAAAAGGACTTACATGAACAAAAATATTTATAGCAGCTCTTTTAGTGGTGGCAAAGAAGTAGAAAGGGGATGTCCATCAATAGGAGAATGGCTAAACAAGTTGTGGTAGATAATTATGATGGAATAATATTGTGCAATAAGAAATGATGAGCAGGATGCTCTCAGAAAAACCTGCTAAGACTTACAATAACTGACATAAAGTAAAATGCACAGAACCAGGACAACGCTGTACACAGTTAAAGCAATACTGTAAATGATCAACTGTGAACGACTTAGCTATTCTCAGCAATACAATGATCCAAGAAAATTTGGAAAGACTTATGATGAAAAATGCTATCCAACCCCAAAGAAAGAACTGATGGAGTCTGAATGCGGACTGAAGCATACCTTTTTTTTTAAACTTTATTTTTTCAGACATGCAGAAAACATCGTGTTTTTTTTACATGACTAACATGGAAATATGTTTTGCATGAGTGCATATGTATATATAACCTAAATCAAACTGGTTGACGTCTCAATGAGGGAGGAGGGAAAAGGCAGAGAGAAGGGGAAAGGGGGAGAGAGGTGGGGAAAGGGGGAGGGAGAGAGAATCAGGAACTCAAAATTTTTACAAACAAATGTTGAAAATTGTTTTTACTTGTAATTGGGGGGAAATTTAAAAAAAAAAAAAGATGTTTGCTCCATGGAAAGAAAGCTAGGACAAATATGGACAGCATACTAGAAAGCAGAGACATTACCTTGCAGCCAAAGGTCCATACAGTCAAAGGTATGGTTTTTCCAGTAGCAATGTATGGCTGTGAGAGTTGGACTAAAAGGAAAGCTGAGCACTAAAGAATAGACGCTTTCCAATTGTGATGCTGGCAATGACTTTCGAGAGTGTCCCTTGGACAGCAAGGAGATCAAGTCAGTCCATACTTAAAAAAATTAATTCAGGTTATTCACTGGAAGGTTAAATACTAAAGCTGAAGCTTAAATATTCTGGCCACATAATGAGAAGATGGGACTCAGTAGAAAAGACAGGATGTTGGGAAAGATTGAAGGCAAAAGGAAAAGGGGACAGCAGAGATGAGTGGGACGTGATTGAACAACTCACATTAGGCTCTGAATGTATAAATTAAGAGGAGAGGAGAAAGGAAGGAAAGGGAAAAGAAGAGAAGGAGGAGAGAGAAGGAAGATGGGGAAAGGAAGGAGGAGGGAAGCCGGGGGAAGAAGAGAAGGAAAAAAAGATGAAGGAGGGTGGAGAATGGCTGGGAGGATTAGAAGAAAGAGGGAAAGTGGGAATAAGAAGGAAGCGGTAAGAAAAAAAGGAGAGGAGGGGGAAGATAAGAAGGAAAGGGGGAATAAGAAGGGGAGTGGGAAGGTCGGATAAGAATGAATAACTGAGGGAGAGGCAAGAAAGAAGGGAGAAGGAAAGGGGGGACAAGAGGGGAAGAAGGGAGGCTAAGAAGGGAGAGAGAAGGATAAGAGACAAGGGAGGTTAAGAAGGAAGACGTAAAGGAGACGATGAGAAAAGAGAGGAGGGAAAATGAGAAGGGGAAGGGAGGGGAGGAGAAGAAGGGAAGGATAAGTAGGGGAAGAAGAGAAAATAGGGGAAGAAGAGGAGAAGGGGGAGGGGAGGAATAAGAAGAAAATGGGAAGGGGGAAGGAAAGGGGAAATAACAATGAGATAAAGAGGGAGAGAAAAGACAAGAGAGGATAAGAAGAGGAGGGAGGGAGCACGAAATGAGAGACAGAAAGGGGGAATAAGAAGGGGAGGTGAAAAATAAGGAGCAGAAGTGGGGAGGATTGTAAGGAAGAGGGAAGGGAGGAGAATGAGAAGGGGGGGAGAATGAGGAGGAGGAAGTGCGGCCGGAGCCCGAAGCAACCAAGTCCAATCCGGGCCTCTACTCCCTGACCCCCAGGGGCCCAACAGGTGAGTCTACTTACAAACTGGCTCCTACGGTCTCTCCTGAGCCCAAGAGGCATTTTCGTGGCCGGGGAGGAGGAGGAGGGCTGGGCTAGGGCTGCTAATGATCCCACTGTCCCCCAAGCCACGCGTTTTCGCCCAGCCCAAAGACCTTAACCAGCAGCTTTAGGACCTGTGCTAGCGGAGCTCCAGACGCTTCCCCTCGCTAGGGAGCCCGCACCAAGGGCTCTCGGCATTGGTTCCCGCTTTCCCGGGGGACCAATCAACGGCACGCTCACTGCCACGCCCGGCTGGCCCTTGGCAACCGGAGGGGCTCGTTCGAACGCGGTCGGCGCCCGCTGGGACTGCGGACCCTCGCCGCTCGGCTTTCTATTGGCCAATACTGACGTCCGTCTTCCCTGGAGTGGTTGTTCTGGCGGAAGGAAGGCGGGACAAGATGGGCACGGAGGGATCGTGTCTGGCCGGTTTCGCGTCTCTGATTGGGGCTCGGAGGCGGCTGCGCAGATGGTGAAACGCCGGACAGGCGCGGCGAGTGGCAGAGTCCTCCTCTGAGCGAGTTATTTAGACTCTTTCAGCAAGGTAGGGGTCCTTGAGATCCGGCTGGTTCTACATACACACACACACACACACACACACACACACACCACACCCCCGGGCGGGAGGAAAGGGAAACTGAGGGTTTTGTAAGGGACTGCTTTTTGTCTTTCATTATATATCCCTGGCTGTTAGCACAGTGTCAGGCGTGTACTGGGGCATAGTAAATGCTTGTTAACCCACTGAGACATGATAGCTTTTGGCTTTTTTCAATTATCTTTATTTTTATTGATAGCTTTTTAAAAAGAGACGAGAGGAAAGCAGTTCAGGATTAACCAACATTTCATTCTTGTCTGCAGGTGTAAGCAGCATTACGCATCATGGTACCCCACTTTTGCAATGAAATGAGGGAGGCATATTTTTTCATCTTTTCTCCAGGGCCGGGCTTAGCCAGTGTCATTACACTGCATGCAAGTTTGGGTTGGTTTTTTCCCCTCCATTTGTATTTTTGTAGTCATTGTGGATAATATTTTCCCGGTTCTGCATACTTTGCTCTGCATCAGTTCACATGAATCTTCAAATATGGTTCAGTAATCCATTTCATTCACATTCCACCCTTTGGTTTAGCAGTTCCCCAGTGAATGGGCATTTGCTTTGTTTCCATTTCTTTGCCACTACAAAAAAAAATGCTTTGAATATTTTGGTGTATAATACCTCTCTGTCTTTGACCTTCTTGGGATATATGCCTAGCAGTTGGACCAAATCACAGTTCCACCAGTAGTGGTATCTGTATGCCTCTTTCTGGAGTTCCTCCACCTTGAGGTGTTTTGTTTTGTCACCTTTGCCAGTTGGCTGGGTGTGAGAAGAAACTTCAGTTATTTTGATTTGCATTTCTGTTATTGATCTGAGGGGTTCTCTCATATGGTTTTTAGTAGATTGCAGTTGTTCTTTTGAGAACTCTTTCTTCATAGCCTTTAGCAATTTATCACAGCTGTTTCATATGGAAGAAGGATTGCTCTAATTCTTTTTGGTTCCCAACCAATCATTTATTACAATTGAGCATTTACTAAGTACCAGTTATTTGCCAAGCACTATACAGCGACAGCTACTGAAAGAAGACAGATATATTTGGTCCCCATATAAGAAATTTTTTTAGGTTAAGAATTAGAGTTGTCCAACAGCATAATGAACTGGCCCAAGACACAGTGGGGTTTCCAGTCACTGAAAGCCTTCAGAGGGAGGTTAGATAACTACTTGGGATGTTACAGGAAAGTATTCTGGCTTAGCCAAATATTAAAATTGATAACCATTAAAGCTCCTTCAGACTTCAAGATTCTGGAACAGTATGGGCAAAGTTGATAAATCCTCATCAGAGCTTGGCCTACGAATCAGGATCTGGGTTCATTGCTTTGGTGCTGCCATTGACTCAGTATGTGACCATATGCCAGTTATTTAACCTGTGTAGGTCTTATTTTTCTCATTTGTAAAATGAGAGAGTTAGACTAGTCTCTAAGGATCCTTCAAAGTCTGAATGTCTTTTAAGAATCTATGAGGTGGGTCGCTAGGTGGTGCAGTGGATAGAGCACCAGCCCTGGAGTCAGGAGGACCTGAGTTCAAATCCAGCCTCAGACATATAACATTCACTAGCAGTGTGATTCTGGGCAAGTCACTTAACCCCAATTGCCTCAGCAAAAAAAAAAAAGAGAGAGAGAAAATATGAGGTAAGGTTTAAGAGACTGTGGAAGGGGTGCCTCTAAGGAGTCCAGCACACAGGAAGCATATAAATAGGTGAGGGAAGTGAAGGCAAAGTTAATAAAGACATCCTACTTTTTAAGAAGGTATATTATAAGCAGAGCTCTGGAGAGATAAGGTTGGCTTTGGAAATGATAGTGTCCAGGAAGAGAAGATTCAGTTGTGAAATATGGACTTTATTGGGAATATGGGGTTTTGTTTTGAAAAATGTGACTATTCAGGGATAGCTTATACCTTTCTCTGGAGAGAAGTTTTAGAAACACAAGAGTCTTTAAAATGTCACAAATAAAGAAATCAGATTAAGAGGATCATTGTCCTACAAAGGGGCAACAGAATAATAGATAGAAATACCAAACCAAACAGCTTAAACACACAAAGTTTTAAAATAAGTCAGCATACCAGTACAGTTTAACATGCTGAGACCAATGAAATTGGCAGAGAACCAGTAAAGAAGGACAAGGAAACTGCAGAATTCTTGATAGATGTCTTTAGTGGATGTGTCACTGTTAAATAAATTAAGCAGGAATTGGCAACACTCCAAAAATCACAAGGTCAAATTAAAAGCTTGAAAAAAGTAAACTATTATATGAGAAATTAAGCGAGAACTTTGTAGCAAGGGCTACAAGGAAGTGGGGAAGAATTAATGAGGATGATGACCAATGAAGAATTTTCTATTTTTTTTTGTTTGTTTAAACTGGACCTGTAAGAATTCCTTCTACTGATTTGTCTAAGGAGAGTTACCTAGAGCCCAAACGGGTTAATGTCTTTGCTCAGGTCACACAGCTAAGATGTTATAGAGGCAGGACTTGAACCCAGGTCTTCCTGACTCCAAAGCCAACTCTCTAGCCATCATGCCAGGCTGTCTCTATGAATAACAAATAAGATAAAATAATAAGAATCCTCCAAAAAAATCCGTTGAAGTAGCAAACAGCAAATTTATTACAATGGAAAACAAATTTGCATATGCCAACCAGCTAGAAACATAGGGGCTAGGAAGAATATCACTGAACTCTAAACTTTCAAACTGTGTGTGAAATAATGAAGAGTGAGGAAACCAAAAGAACAATATACATTATTACTTCAACAGTGTAAATAAAGACAACACCAAAAGTCAACCAGACGCAAAGCAGGGACAGTGAATAATGGTGTACCAAGTTTTTATAGTTAAAACACACCATTTTCTGGTAACAATTGATAAACTACAAAAGTAGAAATTGATATATACTACCTATCAAAATCACTCAATATTGGGTCATTTTAACCATCATTGGGCAGTGTTCTTTGCAGGGGAGGGCATGTAGGTGTTTAGAAAGTGTCTTTTTTGTCAAAAAATCAGTAAATCATGGAATAAACATTTATTAAGCATCTAGTAGGTGCTATACATTATGCTGAGCACTCTACGAATGTTATCTTTTTATACATCATAACACTTTCACAGCTATTTATAGATCAGTTCTTAACCAAACAAAAAAATAGTGGTAACTACAAAAGATAAAATAATTTTGATTACATAAAAATTTTAAAATTTTTCAAAAAGTTACTACATCTAGGATAAGAATAAGAAGATGGGGGAGGGGGAAACACTTTGTATTAGATTTCTCCAAAAAGGGTTTGATATCCTAGCTATACAGACAACTAACAAATATGAGATGAAAAACCAATCCCCAGTTGATAAATGGCAAAAAAATATGAATACTTCTCAAAGAATTGCAAATCATCAATTGCCCATGTAAAAGAATATTCCAAATCACTAATCAAAAAAAATGCATATCATAAAAACCCAGAGGTTTCACCTCACAGCTAGTAAATTGGCAAAGAGTAAAAGATGTGGCATTAGTGCTAGAGGGGTTGTAAAGACAGGTACCCATGTATTGTTGGTGGAACTGTACTACAACCTGGAAAGCAGTTTGGAATTAGGCCCTAGTTCAAGATGTCTGAAAGGCAATTGGAGATATGAGATTTGAGGTTAGCAGTGAGGTTAGGACTGGATAAATAGATTTGAGAATCATCTGCATAGAGATGGTAATTAAATCCATGAAGAGATCACCAAGTGCAATAGTATAGAGGGAGAAAAGGGCCAGGAAGGAGCCCTGAGGGACATCTGCTGGTAGAGGTGTGATCTGGAGGAAGATCCATCAAAAGAGACTGAAAAGAGGTCCCATAGGTAGTAGGAGAATCCAGTAAACAGTCTACATAAGGACTACAATGTAAGTAGAAAGCACAGGCGCCACAAAATAATAAAAAATGAATTTTTCAAAATGACAACAAAAAAGTTTTTAACATTCATTTTTTTAAAAAATTTTGAGTTCCTGATTCTCTCCCTTCTTCCACTCACCCCTCATTAAAAAGGCAAGCAATTTGATACTGATTATATATGTGCAGTCTTGCAAAATATATTTCTATATTAGCCATGTTGCAAAAGAAAACAGACCAAAAACAAAAAGTTTAGTTTTAAGTAGGCCTCAATCTGCATTCAGACTTTATCGGTTCTTTCTCTGGAAGTGGGTAGCATTTTTCATCATAAGTTCTTCAGAATTGTATTGGGATGGGGCAGCTAGGTGGCACAGTGGATAGAGCACTGGCCCTGAAGTCAGGAGGACCTGAGTTCAAATGTGGCCTCAGACCAAACACTTGACACTTACTAGCTGTATGACCCTGAGCAAGTCACTTAACCCCAATTGCCTAAAAAAAAAAAATTTTTTTTAAGAATTGTATTGGGAAGAATAGCTAAGTCATTCACAGCTGATAATCATACAATATTACCGGTCCTTTGTATAAAGTTTTCCTGGTTCTACTCACTTCACTTTGCATCAGTTCATGTTAAGTCTCCAGGTTTTTCTGAAGTCCACCCACTCATCATTTCTTATAGCACAACAGGATTCCATCACAATCATCTACCACAACTTGTTCAACCATTCCCCAAGTGATGAGCATCCCCTCAATTTTCACTTCTTTGCCACCACAAAAAGCTGCTATAAATAAATATTTTTCTTCATATAGGTACTTTTCCTTTTTGATTTTTATCTCTGGGATACATACCTAGTAATGGTATTGCTATGTCAAAGGGCATGCATGGTTTTATAGCCCTACAGGCATAATTCCAGATTGCTCTCCAGAATGGTTGGGTCAGTTCACAATTCCACCAACAATGCATTAATGTCTCAATTGTTCTATATCCATTCAAACAAATGGCAATCTTGATCTCAGAGGAGATATGAGAAAACATGTCCCCCTACTCCTTTGCAGAGGTGGCAGGTCCGTGGATATGGAACACAGCATATCTCATTAGATTTTTTTTGGTTGTATTTTCTATTTTTTCTTTCTAAAAAACATTCATTGTTAAAAAGGATAGGGAAAGGGAGAATACCAGGGGAAGTTAGATAATAGAAAAGCTAACATCAGTAAAAATATACGTTTTTTAAAAAATTTTACAGCTTTAAATGTGAAGCCAATGATTGGATTGCCAAATGAATACAATTTTGCATTTCTTTTAGTAAACCAACACCATCACTATCAGAATATCATTGATGGAGAAAGAAGCCACATTTTCTAGTACAGGCCTTATACATGTTCCTTTTGGACATGTTGTTGGATGTGAGAAATGGCGAGGGTCTCAGTTAGCCCAAGGAATGCAAGGTTAGTATGTAAACTTTTTTTTTTCCTGCTTAGTACCCTGTTTCTTCCTGTGTACTTTAATTTATAATAATATAGAATTCATTCTCTTGTCTATTTTAAGGAAAGATTAAGGTCATCTTTGAGGAAGACCTGACACTAGTGGATTTTCACCTTTCTAATAGATTCTGTATTCTTTATATTACTGAAGCAGATCTGGTGGCAGGAAATGGCTATAAAAAAAGAATTGTTCGACTTAGAAATGTAAGTACTAAGCAAATGAAAAATGAGAATTGTTCTTGCCCCTCTCAGAATTGGCTGTAAAATATCCATTCAAGAAACATGGACCAATTATATATACTACGTTCTAGAAGCAAATGTGGACTAAAAATATCATTCCTGCCGTTGAGGTATTTATAGTCTAGTAAGAGGGTGGACATCTATGCAAATGTTAATGCAAGTTAGAATGTAAGTGTATAAAGAAAGTATCACCAAAATACTGCTAAAAATTGAGAGGAATAAGTCTTGAAAGCCAAGGGGGATTGAAGCAGACATTAGGAGTGAATATATCCTAAGTGTAGAAAAATAAGTAAAGCATCAGCAGAGCCTCTTGAGAGAGGAAAGTGATTATTTATTTGCAGAACTTGTTAATTTTAGATTCCCTAAAATTGCTAAAAATTCCAAATATATATACTATTACATCATTCCTTTGCAATTCCAATTGAGTAACAAGATCTTTCTTAGGCTTTTACAGATATCTTAGGTATATCTAAAGCTATTAAGTATTAAATTAATTATTAAATTAGTATCTTTATTAAATTAAACATTAGATGTTCATATCTAATGATATTCAGATATCTTAATTATATCAGTCATTTTTCTTTATTGAAGGCCAGTAATCTTCAAGGGATTGTAATAATTGAAAAAACACAGATTAGTGAACAGTACTTTACAGCAGTGCAGAAATTTGTTGTCCTGGAACTTGGAATGGCATTGCTTCCGTGTCCAGTCAAATGGAAGCATCCCAGCTTATTATCCAACTGGTAAGTACATAATCACACATTTCTAACCTTTTAAAAAAGAATTTTATTTTAAGACCTGAAAGGTCCCTTCATTATAACATCCACCTTTACTTTGACCTAGTGAACAACATCAAAAACCCAGTTAATACTGTTCCATGAATTAATAGAAAGCTGTATTTGGGAAGTCCATGATGAGAATTTCCTTCAATAACCTGAACTTGTCACATTTTCAACCTTAAATACAGGTGAATGACCAACCTTATTGTATAATTTCCCTATCTTAAATTTAGCTGTCAGTTAACTCATTATATATCTGAAAATAGTTGGCTCTTTTGTCTAAGAAGTGACGGTTCTGTATACTTATTGGGTAGACTGTCAGTTTTATAGCACATGTATTTGTCATATGAAATTTTTGCAGTAGAAGTTTGCAGTATTTTTCAAAAAAAAATTTCTTTTTGCCATAAGCTGAGGCTTTCAAATAGGTTTAAACAGCATATAAACCTCTGGTCCCCTATGTATCAACATCCTCAGCCTCACTAGATCTGCTGCCCTCTTCTGCTATCTAAAGAGCTTCAGTTCCTCCTAGGAGGGGAAAGTTGTCCTAAGGTGACACTGAGTCGCCATCTTGAACAAACCCACCAGAAGTATGGTTTGCACTAGCAAAATAACTAAATTTGAGGGTCCTCGAGTTTTGTTTAACCAGGAAAATGAGTTTTCAGAGAAAGGCTGTAGGGTATCAAAGTAAAGTAATTTAGAGGTTTTTATTACTTTGCTTTAATTAGTTTTATTCTGACATGATAATTCGCAGACTCAGGTGTCATTATAGAGACAGGGGAGAACTCTCCTTTTATGATTAACATTTGCATACCATGTTGGTTCAGAAATACTATGTGAAGCATTGTTTGTAAAGGGAGTTCAGATTCACCTTTACTAGTATGAGACTAAATTTTACTTGAATGAGTGAATAGACTAGTCTTTTCAAACTAACATATTGATAGTTTTCACAGTATAAAAAAGTTCTTATTAAAACAAAAGCATTTTTTCTTAAAGATTGCAATATTAAATTAGTTTCAACAAATATTTCCTAAGTACCTACTACATGCAAGTTAGTTTGTTAGGCCCTAGTTATAGACAAATAAGATAAATGACATTCTAAGTCCTGAAGTGAAGCCTTTTGACTGTTTGGATTTGGTCAAAGGGCTGCACTTAAGAACCTAGAAGGCCACACGTGGCCTCAAGGCTGCAGGTTCCCCAACCCTGCCATAGCCTGAAGGAGCTTACACTCTACTAGGAAAATATAACATATACACAAATAAGTATAATACAAGATAAGAGTATAATGGGTTTCACAGTAAAGACCCAAAGTGCTTTAGGAAAATTTGAAGGGGGAAAAAATCATTTCTTGTTTGGATATTTGGGGGGACAGGGAGGAATGAACAGGGAAGGATGTGGTCCCTCAACCAGGCTTTAAAGGAAGAGAACTGTAAAGAGCCTCTCAATTCACAGAGGTGGACATGTATATTGAGTTCAGGGAACAGCTTTAGTTTGACTGCAGATTTAGAAAGGCAGGTTAACACCAAATTGTGAAGGGCTTTAAGGGCCAGAATAAGGAATTGAAATTGTTTAATCTAGAGACAGCAAGAAACTACTGAAGATTTCTGAATGATTTGGTTATACTTATGACTTAAAAAAATTTTATGGGGCAGCTAGGTGGCACAGTGGATAGAGTACCGGCCCTGAAGTCAGGAGGACCTGAGGTCAAATCCAGCCTCAGACACATAACTTACTAGCTGCGTGACCTTGGGCAAGTCACTCAACCCCATTGCCTAACCCCCCCCAAAAAAAAAAATTTTAACAGTGGACAAAGGATTAAAAGTCAGAAGACTAGAGGCTGGAAGACCAGTTAGAAAGATATTGTCACAGTCCAGGCAAGAAGAATAGGGGGCCTACCTAGGGTAGTAGTAGTGGCAGTAGAGAAGAGGGAATGAATGCCAGAGATATCATGGAGATAGAATCAGAAAAACTTAGCAACTGACTCTGAGGATTCAAGCCTAATTAATACAGAGGTTGGTGGAAAATTAGAAGGCGGGGGGGGAGGGGGAAGGTGAGCAGTTCATTTCTGGACATGATGAGTTTGAAGTACCAGGGGAACATCTAGTTACAGATGTCCAACATATAATTAGAGACGTTCAAAGGAGAAAGAGAAACTAGATATAAAGAATTAGGAATCTGTGGTGTGAAGGTAACACTTAACTATAGGAGCAGGTGAAATCACCAAGGGAGAGAGTGATTAGAGCAGAGGGAGTCAAAGACAGCCTTGGGAAAAAATCTATATTTAAGAAAAACAAGTAAAAGAACCAGGAGAGAACGATGTCAGAGAAACCAAGGAAGGGAAAAGTGGCCACAAGGCAGAGGTGAATCAAGGTGGATCCTGATCTTAAAATAAAACTTTTATTAATCTCAAATTGGAAAATTAAGTTTCTTTTGAGTAAAATGAGCTCAGATTCCTTTGTCTTCAATTTTAGGTCCATGAACAAACCAAAGAGCGAAATAGGAATCCTTTTCTTAGGAAGAAAAGCTGCCAGCTCTCTGAATCATCAGTACTTCAAACAGTACAGCAGATACCAGGAGTAGGAAAAGTGACAGCCCTACTTCTGTTGCAGGAGTTTGCAAGTATCCAAAAACTGTGCAGTGCATCTATCCAAGAACTTGAGCAAGTAGTTGGACATATGCTAGCAGAAAAAATGCATACGTTCTTTACCCAGACAAGGTGACAGGACATAATCCTAAAATAGGTTTTGTCCTCCAGCACCACCAAATCTAAGATTGTGCTTTTCTTTACTTATAGTGAAAGCAGGGAATTTACTTTTTTCATCTTGTATCAGGTATCGAAAGGAAAGGACAATTTAGAACCATAATCTCTATGCTTATATTTTAATCAGCTACCCCTTGGCCACAGGTCTTAAACTAGCAGACCAGACACTGCTGTTTGTGGCCAGCTTTCTAATAATGTTTTTTTGTGATTAAGATGATCAAAACTTGAATGCAACATCTTTGTTTAAAGGAAATTCATAAATAATGGTATGGCCTTGACTGTAACATCATCCTTTTCAGATTTCCTCAGACATTTCAGATGGTTGTTAAAGTCAGAAGCAAGAGTCAACTAAATGTTTATGTTATCACAGATGTCTGAGGTATTACACGTAGTATTCAGTTCAGGTCATAAATTGTAACTGAGGATTAAAGGACTACAACTTAAATAGAGCTTTTGGTGCCTTAAAATAACAAGTGTTTCAGTCCATGTTAGACATCTAGATAAATCTTGAAGGGGGAAAAATGAAGAGAACAAAGGATAAATTAATAGTTATTTATTTAAATACATAAGCTTCTACAAATGTAATGCTAAAGGCACTGTTTGGATACATTTGCACAATGTTCCCTTAGGACTTTAATGATTATGATGAAACTAAAACTTGGAAACTTCTGTTACAGGTATTAATGATATGTTTAGCAATTTTTTCTGTATTATTCAGGTACATAGCAAAAAACCCCCACAAAACTGTCATTACTTAGGAAACATTTGGATTTTAAAAGTCTTACATAGAGCTTAAAACTTCCGTAATATTATATATTTATTGCAAAGAAAAGTTAAAACAGGCTTTTCTTTTTAAAACAGGCTTTTTTTAGCCAGAGATTTATTCAAGGTGCATTTATTGCACTTTCCTACTTTAAACAAAATGGAAAATGTTTTGAGTATCAAACAGTATAATATCTACCCTGTAGATGGCATTTTTATCTAACACTAGTGTGTTAGCAACATGAAAATTATTTCTAAACAATATGTAAAGTCAAAGCTGGTTCTAAATAGTCTCTGCTGTTAATAGTAATTATGAAATTTGGCACTAGGTTGTATCTAGAACCTGCAACTGTCCTAAAAGTATGCAGTTTTGTCATTCATTTTGTACAGCAATCAAAGTAAAACTTGTCATTGAGTATGCACAACTATTTTTGATAACAGTAACTCAAATCCACTACTGTAGTCTGGATACTAGCTGCCATGTTGTATAGCATTTGTTTGAATTAAAATTAAAGAATTTATTTTTTTTCAAACTCTAAATCTATTACATAGTGATATCTGCAATATTAATTTAAAACTGATACAAGGACAAGTAATAAAATTAGTTGTGAAGACTATCCTTCATATTTTCAGCACTTTTTTATATACAGGACTATATGCAATAAATAACTTGTAGCAATACACTGACACGCTTCACACAGAAGACAATGTCTTCTGTAAATCCAGTTTCGGCACTTTTGTTTAGGATACAAATGCCACATCCAAGTTTAAAATCTAAGAAAATAGGTTTTAAATATGTTAATAAATTTCACATTATGGCACATATATTGAGAGCTACTGAACACTTAGAAATAGCTTCATTTGCTGAAATGTTAATACAGTGAACTTTCTGTATTGAGAAGACCAAAAGGAGAAGAAAGTTTCTTCTTGTTCTGGGGTCTTACCAGCCCAACTGATGGGAGACAGAGAGTGCTAGCTGACTTCTGTCTGTTTTTGTTGGTTCCCCAACTCAAAAAAGACAGTTTTTTGGAGATTTTTTTGGTTTTGTTGATTTTATCATCTTCTATGGCTAAGCAGATCATGGAGTAAGTTTTCTGCATTCCCACAGAGTAGGTAGCACACTTATTATGCTGCATAAAACAGAAAAGGGAAAACGTCATCCATGCCGAGCTATTAAATGCTCAAAATAAGAGGTTAAACTTGTGAATCACTTCTTGAGTTTACAGCATTTTACAACAATTATTTTGAAATTCAGGCTTCTACTTACTGTGTTTTGACTGTAAAAATCACCAACAGAATAACTAAGTATTAATATCTGCTTAGTAACCACTACTGAAGGATTGCATAGGATTAGAATACGAATATGAGACAGGGGTTCTTAGTCTTTTTTGTGTCCTCAACTCCTTTGGCAGTTCAGTGGAACCTATGAACACTTTCTAGGAGTAATGTTTTTGGGGGGGTTTTTAAGTGCATAAAATAAAATACATAGGATTACAAAGGACAACAATCATATTGAAACAGTTTGGGTTTTTTTTTAAATTCATGGACTGGACCTCAGGATAAGAACTCTTGCTTTAAAGAGAGCTAAATAAAGGTTTTGAAAAACATCGAGCTACTATGAAAATTTTAAAAATTACTCATCAACTCTTTTGGAAGAATATAAAACATTTTTCACCTCTTCTGAATTTTCAACTCCTTGCAAAATTCTCATTCCCTCTTCATACTTGAATTAATGACTGAAATAAGCTTCTTAAAAGGCATAAACATTTATAACGAAGGTTTGAAAACTGATTTGTAGGTTTGATGTAAAATACCTACAGCTTTTCAGCTGAACAGAAGTTAGTAAATTCATTAAAGTAATGAGAACAGGGAGAGAAGCTGTGTCATTTCTTACCACAGAAGATGCTGAGTCCAAAAGACTAATGACCTTCATCTCAATATCTTCCTCCCCTAAAGTTTTCAGTTTTTGCATGATCTCACTCACTGTTAGCCACTTACAATCCACATCTTGAATAGAAACAATATAATCTCCTTCTTTAGCACCTGCCAGCTAGAAAAGTAATATACAAATGATCAATTCTGATTAAAATTAATCACCATCATAAAGTTAACAAATCTATAAAAATTCACCACAGCACTTACAGTAAAGTACTTTTATTTAGACATGAACCATAAGTGTGTCCTTCAGAGTTGTTTCTCTTTCACAAATATTCTGTCTTCCTACAGCCACGTTTATAAATTTGTTTAGGTTGCGCATATATATATATGTTAGGAGTTGTGTGTGTGTATGAAAGCAGTTGAGTATTTCCCCTTGCTCTCAAATGTGCACCTGAGAATATAGTACTTACTGCAGCAGAGCAGTATGGATCCAGAAAATGAACTTGTACTGGGGAACCTCCTCTCAGAGTGAACCCCCAATCTCCTTCTTCAATGGTAAAATGAATGTTTCGAGGAGCTGTCCATCTCTTATTTGCGGAAAATATAGATAAAGGGCCCTATGGAATACAAAAACATTTTCATCATTTGCATATTAAAACAGACTTCTTAAAGTTATGTTTTAAACAACTTCAAGACCACCAACAGAGTGCCTCAGGGACCTGTGCTTGAATGTATACTGACTTGGGTGAAAGCACAGATGAAATGGTACACAAAGTCTGCAGATGAGATAAAGCTAAGAGGGATAATACCAGATGGCGAATGCTACTCTAAAAGTTCTTGACAGGCTAAAATGTACCAAATAAGAATTCTAATAGAAATGTAATTCCTACATTTGCAGTCAAAAAAAATTTACTTCATGGGGCAGCTAGGTGGCGCAGTGGATAGAGCACCAGCCCTGAAGTCAGGACCTGAGTTCAAATCCGACCTCAGACCAAACACTTGACACTTAGTAGCTGTGTGACCCTGGACAAGTCACTTAACCCCAACTGCCTTAAAAAAAAAACATTCATTTCACAAGATGGGGGAGACGTGGCTGAACAGTAGTTTGTCTGAAAAAGACGTGGGAGTTGGACTGCAGGTTCTATATGAATCAACAGTGTGATATGACAGCCAAGAAAGCTATTTTGGTGGATAGAGCACTGACCCTGGAGTCAGGAGGATCTGAGTTCAAATCTGACCTCAGACCAAACACTTGACACTAGCTGTGTGACCCTGGACAAGTCACTAAACCCTAACTGCCCTTAAAAAAAAAAAGCTATTTTGATCATAGGCTGAATTAATGAGCATAATATTTAGGAATAAGGAGGTGACAGTTCCATTGTCCTCCATACCAGTCACTATATCTGACTGTATTTGGTTCTGAGGATCTCATTTTAGGGTAAGGACACTGACAAGGATCCAAGAGGGCAACCAAGATAGTGAAGGAACTTGATATCATACTATGCAGGGTTCAGTTGAAGGAACTAGAATATCTGGCCTGAAAAGACACTTAAGGGCATATAAAAACCATTCTTCAAGTATCTGAAGAGCTCTCAGGTGGAAAGGGAACTGGACTTATTCTTGGCTCCAGAGAGCAGCACAGTAGGAGCAGGGAGCAGAAGTTGCAAAGAGACAAATTTAGGGTTGATGCTGAAAAAACTTCCTAATGATTAGAGAAATCAAAAGGTGGGATATGCTGCTTTAGAAGGTAGTGGATTTTCTCTCTTTGAAAGTCTTCAACCAAAGGCTAGATGACCACTTCTGACCCGAGATTATTTTTCCTGTTTGGGTTGGACTAAATGGCCACTGAAATTTTGTAAAATAATTTCTATTCTTGAAATCCTCTAAGGAGGTAGACCAAAAGACTTCTGAAATTTCTTCCAGCTATAAATCTATGATGCTATAACAGATAATCTTTAGTAACCATTTTTCCAGGGGTCAGAGAAACTGACTTCAACAAGTGAAGGGTTTAATCTAAGGAGATCTTGGACATGTTCCCAAAAATAAGCACTAGGTTTAGGACTAAAACAGAAGAGTCCTTAGAGGTTCTGGTCAACATTTCTGAATTCTATGATAGTTGCCTTTAAAAGACAGAAAGAACTGCCTGCAGGAACATAAATAACCAAATTGCTTGTGATGGTGGTTTCCTCAGCCTCATATAACATGCAACATAAGCTATGTTGTATGCCCTCAATCAAATGAAAGAACCTGTTCTAAAATAGTCATTCAAGGACATCTAGGACATGCTTGGCCACCACCCTCATCCCACCCCTCGTGCTCTTCAGCAAAATTAAGAGTTGTCTGCCCAGGGCAGTTATTATCACATGACACTGGTGGATCATACCAGCCTCTGAAAGAAGTCTGTCACTACCACCTTGGAAAACTGTGGTGCTATCATCTCAGCTTCCTGCTCTGTTTTAGCTGTAAAAGAAAATTCAAAACATAAGATGACAATTGTCCACAGTCCTCCTGCCCACTGAGTGAAGGCTAACTGCATCTAGCTGTCCCTAGCCACCCCACCAGGCCACATCTGCCTCTACCTTCCCAACCTGATCTCCAGCTCTTACCCTGAGGATCGGCTGAGCAGTGAAAATTCACTTCATCTACCCAGCTACCCACTGTCTACCCTTGCTCTGGGAACAGTTATCAAATTAATACTTAACATGGCTTCTCAAAATGATGCATCCATCACTCCATCGCCCTATGCCTCTATTCCCCATCCCTGAGACTTCACCCTTCTCTGACCACCACTCCTTTGTATGATTGTTTCTTCCCATCAGAATGTAAGCTCTCTGAGAAAAGGGACTTCTCTTTTTTGTATCTGTATCCCCAGTGTTTAAGAGAGTGTCTAACACATAACAGGTGCTTAATAAATGCTTACTGACAGACTGATTGACTTCAACTGCATTCTGAGAGAAGTAACTTATGACTATCACCTTCTGAGGCCTAGCAAGTGAAAGGCATTTAACTACATCCCTTTAAGTAAGTACTTCCTTTTGGTGTCCAATTGAAAGATTTTTGAAAATATGTCAAAAATGTTCAGTAAAATGCAAACCACTAGGCATTGAGTAGGAAAAAAAAAAACACTCCCAAAAAAAGGCTGATGCTATCAAAGTATAAACAGAAATTTAATTCAAGATTACTAGACAATCCTTTTGCTTATTTCAAGTATTCAGGTTCATACTGCAATCAGAAGAGAGCTTGCTAACTACTCTCTAAGAGTCTTAAAGAAATGATGGATCTACGTAGACTATGAATGAAATTATGTAATAACTATGCTTCTCCCTATTTGCATTTTAGCTCCCTACCTTCAGACATTATAGAAAAGGGGAATCCAAGGACTTACTCTGTTCAAATGTTATTTGCCTAATGGACCCACCTGAATATTTGCCCTAGTAACATTTAGCTTTTCATCAGATTATGTAACATTATGTAAAGATCTTCCTCAATTTTCAGAGAAAAACTTCCCTTAAGTCATCTCTTCCATTATATTATATCACAAATCAATCCTAATATTGTCATAAAAAAAGTAGTAAACATTAGAAGAACGTGTCATATTTCTCAGTCTAACCTTCCAGGCCCTCTAGGGGAGTGCTAGATTTGGAGTTAGGTCTGGATCCAAATCCTGCTTTTCTACACCTGTGTGTATCCAAGCACTTGGACAAGATGACCTCTAAGGTCCCTTCCATCTCTAACTCTATGATCCTACCTTTTCAGCCTTCTTCACAGTTTCAAAATTATATGCCCGTTTCTCCAGGCAAAGCAGAATATTCCTGCTGCTCTCTAAACAGACCTGTACTCATTTGCTGGGTTGCCTTTCTCCCCATTCTCAAAGTATGGAAATCCTATCCATATTTGGAAACCTAACTCAAATCTCACCTCTGTGAAGCCTTTCCTGGTCACCTCTTTCCACTTATTTTTTTTTCCACTTCTAACTTCTATAGCCCTTTGTTCACATCTTTCTCACAGTACTGACAATAGCATTTTGCACAATACTTATTTATGTGTAAGTCTTATCTCCCCTCCTACACTAGAAGCTTTTGGATAACAAGGACTATGTCTTGCTCATCTCTGCATTCCCACAGTGCCTGGCACAGAGGGAGGGCTACAGAAACTGGCTGACTGAATGCAAGCTGATTTTGTCCATGTTAGACACATGTAGGATGGATATCCTGTGAACAATCAGATAAGTTACTTACAGGTAATATCTGGAGCATCTATTAAATTCAGAAAATCGTCATCTTGTTTATGTTGAGAGTATTTGAGATGAGACCTCTTGTGAGCAACAGACAAGATTTCCTGAAGAATCTCTATGTTCCTCAGCTTTTTGCACAGGCTGGCTGCCCTCACAGATTCTTCATGATCAGTGATGGCTTTACGTAAATGGGATTTTCCTGAAAACATAAATCATGAAAATTAACTAAATTTAAAATTCAATAGTATTTAAGTAGCATTTAATGTTTCAAACTGATCAGCTTTACTAACAGCTAGAAGGAGCTTCAAAAACTAATTCAACTGCTTTGCTTTACAGAGGAGAAAATTAAGGTACAGAGAAACTAAGCATATTGCCTAAGGTCATACAATTCAGACTATTCCTACTGCTCTCTGAATAGGCCTTAAATTTTCCTGACTCTGAACTCTGCTTGTTATTCAATCTCCCTTGGATGCCTTTTCCCTCCCCCCATTCTCAAAGTATGTAAATCTTACCCATCCTTATAAGGCTAACTCAAATCCCATCTCCACTAAGAAGCCTTCTCTGATCACTCCTGGTCAACAATTTCATTTCCACCTCTGACTATCCTGTTTATACTTGCTTTATACTGTGACAGTACTTATCACATAGCATTTTGTGTTAGTTATTTATGTATAAGTCTTATCTCGCCTTTTCATTTCCAGGTCCTTCAATTCTAAATTTAGCAGAGCTGAAACTCAATCCCAGGTTGACCAGTGGTTTTTCATGCATGGAGCAGCAAAAAAGAGCTCTGTTTTCTAGTAGAATCATCTGATCTTCCTGAAGGACTATTAAATGCATCTGCAAAAACCTCATTCTTACTTATGAGATAACTAAATTGACAATCAAATCTAGCTACAAGAACTATGAATGTAAGAAGAGGTGTTTGTATATTTTGAAACATTTGATCCAATCTCAGCCTAGATAATTTAAGAATAACTGTTGCAAAATTACATATTCAAAATTGTAACTTTCAAACTTGAGTAATTACTACAAAGCAGAATGATTGTGACATTTACAGCCCACTATCCTTTAGGAACATTCTGGAGCATGGAGAAAGCACATGGATATGCCAAACCCCAGCAATGTAATTTTTATGAGCTTTTTGGGAGCAATACTTTCCCTATTTCCCATACAAACAATAGTATTTACCTAGTTGTTTCCGCTCATTTTTGTTCTTCAATGTTGCCAAAGGTGTAAATCCTTCAGGCATGTGATCATACAGCTGAGACAAGCACTTTTCCTGTTGGTCTTCATCATCTCCAGGATTCACTACAATGACAGGGATTTTGGCATAAGTTTGATTTGTAAACTGAAATCAGAATAGAAACTCTGAATATTATTCTCTTTAAACTCTGCATTATATAATTTTATCTTTGCTATGATGGAAGTGGCAGTTTTATAATGCTGCACTAAGTAATGGCCTTACATAATATTCCCCTCAAAGCCATGTATGCTGGCCTCTCTACTTTTCCTCCTCATTTCCTGTCTTCAAATCTTATCTGTTCCTCAAAGCCCAGCTCAAATCCCACCTCTTCTACGAAGCTTTCCCTGATCACCCCAACACAAAGTAATCTCTCCCTTCAAGTCTAAACTTAAATAAACATAAGGGTGTTTTTTGTCTATACCACATATCTGGTTCTCATCATATGCTACCTTGTGGTGTTATTTTAAATTTAAGAGTATAGACTGTCTCCTCAACTAAACTGCAAGTCCATTTGGGGCCGGAACTCTATTTCATATTTCCTTTATGTCCTAAACACCTATCACAGTGCTTTGCAGAATCTGCATTTGATAATTCAACAAATATTTATCAATCACTTGCTATGTATGCAAAGCACTATGTTAGGGACTAGAGATAAAAAGACAAAAGCAAAGTAGTCCCCTTCCTAAATACAGACTGAGCTCCTGCAATTAGATTGTTAGACTCCTTGGTAGTGAGGACTATCTGTTTTGCCTTTCTTTGTCTCTCCAATGCTTAGCACACAGTAGGCACTAATGCTTCTTGACTTGACATTAATACGAAAGAGTCTGGTAAAATATAGGGGGATGAATGGATGGTCAAATAGTTTATACATTTCCATAGGTACCTCAATGGGCTAAGCAAAAGAAACAAAATGCAGAGTTTCTTGATACTAATGCTGGAATTCCCACTGACTTTATATATCCCCAATAACATCATCTGTCAAACAGAAATAGTATCGACCTGCCTTAAAGTCATACTAAGTCATCTTGCAGAAGCATTTAAAAAAAGCATTTTTAGTTTTAGGAAGTTTTTTTTTCTAACCCTTACATTGATGATCAATCAGAATGGTGGCAGCAAAGTAGTGAGCCAGAGCTCTATAATGGTCGGATTTCACTTTGACCAGGGTGGCCCAAGAGTACGGGATAGTCTCTTTAACTGGCTCCTGACTCATAGCTGAATGAAGTTGCTGGTAAACCTCCCCAACCTAAAACAAGAGAGGCAGGAAAAAGATCACTGGCACAAAACTGCTTCATGTTTCCTCTGCCAAGCACAAAAAGCTCTTTCTTTTACAAGCAATAATGAATACAGTCAGGTCATTCTAGAATTGGACAAACATTTTCAAGGTTATTTCCTATTGTTAACTTCAAAATTAAAAAAATAATCAGACAGGCAATTGTAATAATAGATTTATTGATGGTTTAAAAGCTCAGGTTGGTGTTACTGATCCATGTCATGCAATAAATTTGTACAGAGAGCAAAGAGGAGGTCCCTGCCTAGGAACAGAATAAAGAGCACTCTTATGAGCAAATTCTGGGGAAGACCCTCATTGGACTTGGGGTTTATATCTCCAGAAATCTACAATGACCCACCAAAGACATGGGAGCCAAGAAATAAACCCAGCTCTAAAAGTACAGCATCCAACTCTAAAAGTACAGCATCACTACTTACCCTGGCAGCTTCCTGGGCCATCTTCACTAAGGTAAAGAACTCATTTCGGATCCCAGGGAGACTTATTTTCTCAAAAATGATTTCTTGAGCTTGTGCTAACATCATTCTGACCAGAACATTTAGCATGGCAGGGCTCATGTCATAACTTGGTGTATGAGTAAATGTTTCCTTTAGGTAGTTTAAAACTCCTTAAATGTAAAAAAAAAAAAAATCACAGTTGAAAGAAGAAATACCCCCACTCTCCTATATTAGAAAGAGATTAAACACATATACATATGCACACATAAAACTGCTCCCTATACTGGCTTCATGAAAAACTGCATTTCCCTTTAATGCTTACAAAGCCATAGAACTGGAATCTGTACTCATCACTGTCAATCAATCATTCTCTCAAAGAGCTGCATGTTGTTTCACTAATAGTAGGTTCATAAGGACTGTTTGAGGCATCAAGGTTTGTGATATATCTTTGTATCCCCAGTATCTAACACTAAGCCTTCCAAACAGTAGACATTTAATGTCTGTTAAATTAATGATGTTCCCAGGTTTGTAATATTATTCATTCTGTCAACATTTAGCTTTTAGAGAATAAAAAAGCAAAAATAACAACCAAGTTGGGAAAGACCCTTGGATTTGGAGAGTCATGTGAGGGCTTGGCACCCCACAAACTGACCTTGGAAGATGTAACAATAGGCATAGAATGAGGAGGCGCTTTTCTGGTTTCATTCATATGAAAAATTACAATGTATGTTTCAGCTACTATATTTTCCCCTTCGAAAATTCACTGTCAAAAAAAAAACCTGACAAATCAGGAGCTGAAATATAACCTCCAACATCATTCCCATCCAACTGGTTCATCTAGTTTCACCAGCATATAAACTGCACCATGTTCTTCGGAAGTGTTACAGAAGCTGGTTTGGAGCTACTATATACATTTTCTATTTGCATGAAGGTTGGCATGATATAGAGCAAAGGTTCTTAGGGTCTGTGAACTTTTTTTTTCCTTTTTTTTTTTTAGGCAATTGGAGTTAAGTGACTTGCCCAGGGTCCCACAGCTAGTGAGTGTCAAGTGTTTGGTCTGAGATCGGATTTGAACTCAGGTCCTCCTGACTTCAGGGCTGGTGCTCTTTCCACTGCACCACCTAGCTACCCTGAACTTTTTTTTTAAATTGGTATCTATTTCAGTATACTTGGCTTCCTTTTTAATCCTATGCATTTTATGCATTTAAAAACATTATTCTGAGAAGGAATCCCTAAGTTTCACCAGACTGCCAAAATGGAGGGGGTCTATGACACAAAAGGGTTTAAGAACACCTGGTACAAAAGCTTACTTTAAATTCTGTATACCCTTTGACCCAGCAATGTCACCACTTAGTCTATATCCCAAAGAGATTTAAAAAAGAAGAAAAATACTCATATGTACAAAAATATTTATAGTAGTTCTTTTTGATGTGGCAAAGAATTGAAAACTGAGGGGATGTATATCAGTTGGGCAATAGCTGAACAAATTCTGGCATATAAATGAGTTGTTTCAGTCATGTCCAACTCTTCGTGACCTCACCTGGGTTTTGTTTTTTTTTGGGGGGGCAAAGATACTAGAGTGGTTTGATATTCCTTTTTTTTTTTAAATAAATGAGGAAATTGAGGCAAACAAAATTAAGTGACTTGCCCAAGGTCATACAGAGCTAGTTACATGGCTGAGGCTGGATTTGAACTCAGATCTTCCTGACTCCAGGCTCAGGGCTCTATCTACTGCACCACAAAATACTATTATGCTGTAAGATATAATGAAGGAGATATTTCCAGAGAAACCAAGGAAGACTTGTATAAACTAATACTGAGTGAAGTGAACAGAACTAGAAGAAAACTGATACAATAACATTGGAAAGACAATCAACTTCAAAAGACTTGAGAACTCTGATCAATGCAATGACCAAGCCCAGTTCCAGAAAAATAATGATGAATCATGCTATCCACCTCCTAACAGAGAGGTGATGGGCTCAGGATGCAGACCAAGACATTTTTTGGACATGGCTAATATGGTCAATTAGTTTTGTCTGACTTACGAATATTTGTTACAAAAGTTTTGTTTTGTCTTTCTTTCTCAATGCAGGGGGGAAAGGAGTAGAAGGAAGAGAAGGTGGATTTTCATTCATTAAAAAAATAATTATTATAATAAAACAAAAAGTAAAGTAAGATTAAATTTTTTAAAAATAAACCATGACATAGAAGATAGAACAGTAGACCTGGGAGTCAAGAGGGCCTGGGGTCAAACTCTGCTTCAAACACTAGCCATGTAACCCTGGGCAAGTCACTCAATCTCTTTCAACCTTTGGGGACTCCTGAATTACGCCATCATGCCCCTGCTCTGGGTACCTGTCCTACTCCTACCCTGCCCCTGCCTTTTAGCTTCCTTTTGTGTGCTGTCTTTCCCCATTCAATTGTAAGTTCTTTGAAGACAGGGTCTGTCTTTCTTTTTCATTTTTTGTATCCCCAGCACTTAGCACAGTGCCTGGCATAAAACAGGCACTTAATAAATGTTTACTGACTGACCAATAACAATACTTGTAGTTTTTATCCCATCAGATAATTATGAGATCAAATGAGATAAGATATACAGTGTTTTCCAAATCTTAAAGTGGATGTTTTTATTTTATTTACATGTGTTATTTATTTTTATTAGTTATTAGTTTTATTATGTTCACCCTATGATTTCATTGGTATAAGCAATTCCCTCTACCAAGACAGACTGGCAACTATTTTGTAATATTTTAGTAAACTGCCCGAAGCACCGAGACCTTAAGTGACATGCCCAGGATTACACAGTATGTTTTGAGCCAGAACCTGAACTCAGGTCTTTCTGACTCTCAGGCCAGCTCTCTATCCACTATGCCATCCTGCCTTTCCAGACATTTTCCGCCTGTATGTCTGTTTTGATGAGTTCATAAACATTGGTAAAAATAAAAAAAGATGTCATATAATTCTTACTAAGTTTATTCCCCTTATAATGTATCCCACAGAATTTTAGACCTCAAAGTACCATGAAAGTCTCTTCTAATCTAACCCCTTCATTTTACAGTTGAGAAAGCTATGGCTCATGGAGAGGAAATTACTTTCCTCAAGGTCACACAAGTTAATGGTAGCTCTGGGACTAGATCCGATATTTCCTGATGGCTGGAATAAATAGGTTTGCCTGGGTTTCCAGTGGAAAATCTTGTCTTTGGAGTTTTACCAACCATTTCACCAAACAGCTGCCGATAATATTAATCTACACAACTCCATCTTGTTGAATGTGAATCCAGAACCCACTCCTACAGGCTCAATTTCCACTGAAATAGGCTGCAGAGATTTATTATTCAATGGAGTCATGAGTGAGTTGGTGCCACAGGTGAACAGAAAAAATAAGAGTAGAAATACAGCTGGACAAAAGACTGTCGTGAGAGTCAAGAAGCCCAACTCCAGGTCCAGCTCTGTCATAGGCTGTGTCATCTTACTCTTCTAGCCTTGAGCATCCCCATTCTCTAAGAGGAGGGGCTTGGACTCGATGCAATCTGAGATCCCTTCAATCTCTAACTTTCTGTAATTAAGCAAAGAATTATTCTACATCTAAATCCATAATGCTCTTGATGCAAGTATTACTGTAATGAGAAAAGTCAAGAAACAACTTATTCACATCTTTAAAATTACAAAAAAAAATTCTTTATATACTGGTTTCTATGACTAGAGTAACTTATGGCTGTTTACTATTCTATCCTTCAAAATAGTATTCCTTGACTCATACATACAAAAATATTTATAGTAGCACTTTTGGTTGTAGCAAAAAAACTGGAAACAAAGTAGGGAAATTCCCTCCAAATTGGAGAATGGCTGTACAAATTATGACAAATGAACATCATGGGATATTATTTTGCTATAAGAAATGACAAAAGTGTCAGATTAAGAAAAACCTGGGGGGACTTGTATGAAATACTGCAGAGTAAAATGAGAAGAATAAGGAGAACAATTTATGTAATGACTATAACTTTGTAAAATATAACAGTGAATGAATTAAGGGTTAGACTAATCTAATGGTCAATCACAACTGCAGAAGACGGATGATCTCTATTGACAGAGATGTGATGGACTAGAAGGTACAGAAAGAGACATTAAATTTTCAGATATAACAAATGTATGGATTTGTTTGTAGATTTCATGAGACTTCTTATTTATTAGAGGTGAGGTAGGGTAGAAATAGTGACATAAAGAAAAAAGAAGAGATTCAATGGATTATTGAAAAAAAAATAATAAACAGAGAGCCAAAGGAAGTTCATAAGGAGACACAAACAAGCACGTCAGTGTTGGAACTACCACATTAAATTTGAAATTAAAAAAAAAAAGCAAAAGTTAGTGGAGATTCATAGCTGCACAGTCTTCTTTTTCTGATCTTTGTATAAGGAAATATTAATATTTCTTGTTTATCAATTTCAGAATAATAAAAAGATAAAGATTTAAATAAAAAAGGTGTTCCTTCTACAAAGGAACAATGTGCAGTATACCTATCCAAGTTTAGATTTGGGAAAAATTAATGATTAAGCTCCAGAATCCTGTACCAAAAAAATCAGATGATGACAACAGGTTTTGGACCACTGAACAATTCTCTTTTTGTACTTTCACAGAAAGTTGGTAATGAACCTACAGAAAGAGCCCTTTCAGGTATGAAGGCTAGCTACTGGGGTCCCAGTAACTGGAAAGCCAAACAAAGTTGGCAAAATCAAGGCTAATAAAAAGTGTCAAAAACAAAATAATAGCAATCCTTTCTGAAGAACAAAGATAATGAGACAATTTCTCTTACTGAAATATACACATAAACACACACATACATGTGCGCGCACACTCACACACCCCTTGCACCCTTACAAGTAAGCAGTTTCCTCATACAACTCTCACCTGCAGCTCTCTGAAAGGCGTCCACAGCATGTTCAAGCCCTGTTTGTGTCTGCCGGTTACTTCGGGTTCCAATTTGTGTATAGACAGCGCCAATATTAAATAGGATACTGGCTTTTTCCAGCAACAAATTCTGCTGGCTGACTGGAACACCAGTTAATGAATCATACCTATTTAAGAAAATTTTAAGGATAAAGAAAACTTCACTTTTGCTTCTGTCGAAAACATAATAATCCTTTACATAAAACTGAAAGATAGATCCCACAAGCTCCTTGTTTACAAACAAGAATAACAGACTTGTTTATATTTAATTAAGACCCTATCCAAAACTATTCTTGGTTTCAAAAATCATATGATTCTCTTAATTGAAATATAATTATCAATTTTTTTTATAGTTTTTCCATCAAATAGAAAACATAAAGAGTTTCTTTTAAGAATCCTATTTTGAATGAAAAAAGAACAAGTCTCATTTGAGACTATATAATAATACTGCCAACTTATTTAATCTTCTATGATAGAAGAGTTAAGACTTTTCTTAGAGGTACATTATAAAAACTCATCTCCTTTCCCAAAAGGAAATTTAGAATCAAGAGCCCCAATGTTTGGATTACTACAGGTAATGAGATATTAAAGTGAAATTCTTATTCTGACCCTTAGTTAAAGAAAAAATGCACCTTAATTCACAATCACCTTGGCCAGTCTCCCCAGGCATACCTGGAGAAAATTTACAATTTCACTGGAATACTTTAAACAATCTTGCTCTTTTAAGAATGCACACTGAACAGGCAAAGATAGCAAAAATGAGAATAGAAATAGTGGAAGGAAGGGGTTGAGGAAAGGACAGGCACACTAATATACCGTGGATGGAACTGTAAATCAGTCCAACCATTCCAGAAAAGGATTTGTAATTATACTAAAAACAGAGACTAAAATTTCTATGTCCAGAGATCCCATTAACAGGTATATCTTCACCAAAATTTCTACAAGCAGCACTTTTTGTAGTTACCAAATAACTGGAAGCAAAGAAAATGTCCATTAGTTGGGGCCTAAACAAATATGTAATATATAATGTTATAGAATTTTACTGCCCTCTAAGAAAAAAGTACGGACTTATATGAAATGATAAAGAGTAAAGGAAAGCTGAGCCAGAAACATGTTATACACAATTACAAAAACAGAAATGAAAAGAATTTAAAAAAAAAGAGCAGGAAACTGAATATTTTGTAACTATAGTGAAAGAACTTGGCCCTGGATAAGAGTTGAGAAAACATACCTTCTTCACCTCATTGCAAAGGCAGAGGAGCATGGGTGCAGAATACTAAATATATTATGAAACATAAATGATATGTCGACTGTTTTTGCTGACCTGCTTTTCTTTTCACCTTTCATTTAAAAATTTTATTACAAGAGATTGCTCACAAGGAATGTATAATAAAAAATTTTAAAGGTGACATAAAAACAAAAGATGTGAATAAAAATAAAACTTTTAAAAAGAATGTGTGGTAATACTTGTTAAAAATTGGCTATCTAAATTTGCTGTCTGGTCAAATCATCAGCACCTAATGTCCTAGGAACTGGGAAAAGGCCTGCTCATTAAAAACACCTGCCAAGCCTAGCATAAGAATTCTTCCTTCCAGTGACACAATTTTCCCTATTTGTAACAGGAAGATTAAGACTATTCCAGTTCTATTTAACAAATAGTTTATGGTGTGCAAATAAGCAATGATTGTAAAATGCCATAAGCTCCTTGGGATCTGCTGCATAACATTCAATACTCTATATCTCTTTAGCTATCTTATATAAGTTCAATAATTTAAAAAAAATTTGCTATAAAAAATGATAAAAGCAATGTATCAAAATGAGAATTAGTTGAGATAAGTAAGAATATGAAAATATTCATTTAAGTAGGAAAAAAACAACCTACCATGTAAATAAAATTCCCATGTGCCTAGTGGGTGGAAAAAATCTGTTTTCAACAAAGCCAAGCTGAATGAAGTATGTCATTAACAATTCGACACCAGCTTCATCTCGGCTAGGTGTGCGGCAAGCCTAAAGATATTTAGAAAAGAAATACTGCATAAAGGTAAACAACCTACTACTAGCATCAGCTAACTGATCTAACACATATAAAATCAATTCAAAGAACACTGTTCCTACAACTGCTCCACACCCACCCCTAAGTATGCCTCTCATAATTATTAGTGAGATATTTACTTTAACAAAAGTTGGTGGTTCCTGCAATTTGTTTTTCACTGTGGCATTGTAAAATGAAAACAACACACTTACAGATAAACAGAATACATTAGGGATATCAGCTAGGCCTGTGATATCATCATTACAGTGAATTCTTGGGTAAGGAAACTCCAACTGCAGGTTTGCACCTTCCTTGCAACTTATAGTTATCTAGAATACTAGGTTAAGTGACATGACTAGATTCATGAAGCCAGTATATATCAGAAAGGAATCTAACACTTCTATTACCTAATAAATGAGATAATATATATGCAATACTTTGCAAATCCTAAAGCACTATGTTAATGCTACTTATTATGACTTATTATTACTGTATCCACTATGCCATGCTACCTCTCAGAGGCAATATTAAACCATACTATGACGATGTTTTGCAAACCTAGTGACTACGTCGAATCTCAGATGAAAACTTACTTGTCTTAGATCCATAAGATCTGCAATTTCATCTTCATATAAAGAACTATCTTCACTGTAATGTTCCAAGATAAAATCCTTTAAAGAAAATGACAAACAGAAAACTTCAAAATATTTGTACGAAAATATTTATAGCAACTCTTTTTGTGGTGGCAAAGAATTGGAAATTGAGGAGATGCCAATCAACTGGGGAATGGCTGAACAAGTTGTGGTATATGATTGTGATGCAATACTACTGTGGAATGATGAGGGGAATGGTCTTAGGAAAAACCTAGGAAGACTTGTACGAACTGATGCAAAGCGAAGTGAGCAGAATCAGGACAATGTTGTACACAATAACAATATTGTAATGATAATCAACTGTGAAAGACTTAGCTACTCTAATCAATTCAGTGATCCAAGACAATTCCAAAGGACTCGTGATGAAAAATGCTATCCACATCCAGAAAAAGAACTAGTGAATGATAAATACAGAATGAAGCATACTTTTTTCACTTATTTTATTTTTCTTTCTTTTTTTGCAACATGGTCAATATAGAAATATGCTTTGCATAACTTCACATGTATAACTGACAGCATATCTGCCTTCCCAATGAATGTGTGAGGGGCTAGAGGGAAGAAGAGAATTTAGAATTCAAAATGTTTAAAACTGAATGTTAAAATAAAGTATAATTAGAATGAAGCTTCAGGAGATTTCTATTGCCTCTTTAATAAAATAAAAAATCTTCTGCTAGGCACTTAGGGTCTTGCAAAATTATCTGCAACCTATCTTTCCAGATTGATTATTCATTGTTTCCTTTTACACACACCATTCCAAATGAGATGGACTATTTGCTGTTCCCATACACAATATTCCATCATTCATCTCCATTCTTTTGTTAAGGCTATCCCCCGTTCCTGGAATACACTTCTTCCTTACCTCTTGGAACCCTTCAAGGCTCAGTTCCAATGCCACCCCCTCCAAGAAGCCTTTCCTGATCTCCCTGTCAATGTTCAGACCACCACTACCCTCCAAAATGGTTTTGTGTTTATTTTGTTCATTTCCTCTTTTGTATACATGTTTTCTCCCCAGCAGAATGTGAGCACCTTTTCATTTCTTTATCCCATACAGCCTGGTACATGATAGTTATTTAATAAATGCTTGTTGAATTGGACTAAAATTCCTATTAAAATACAATTAATTTCATTTTTGTGATGTTATTTGGTATTCTTCGTCTCCAGTAACTTTCTTCTCAAAGAAATTATTCATGAAACATTGAGCTGAGGTTTCTGTAGAGCCTATAAGCCTGTGGCCTCTTTGTTTCTTACTCATGAACCACTTTTTGCTGTCCTCTATGGCCACATGTACACTGAGGTTACCAAGTATAAAACTTTATAATGATATAATTTGGAGGGTTTTTTGTAGGATTTCTCTACCAACATTCCACCAAACAGATGCTGGTACATAAGCTATGATTATCTTTATGGTAGGGTCTTTTTTTCAAATGATTTTCGTGGGCATTGCAATGGAAGATGACAAAGTGTCTCAAGAAATAGTGGTTCTCTGAATGCAGATGGAAGCATACTATTTGCTCTGCTTTTCTTGGTTTGTTTTATTGCTTCATTTTTCATGGTTCCTCCAGTTAGTTCTAATTCTTCTTTACATCATAATGGGAAAATATGCTTAATATGAATGTATAACTAGAGCCTATATCAGACTGCATGCCATCTTGGGGAGGAGAGAGGAGAGGGAGGGGGAAAAATTTAAAACTCAAAATCTTATGGAAGTGAAGGGGCAGCTAGGTGACACAGTGGATAGAGCTCTGGCCTTGAAGTCAGGAGGACCTGAGTTCAAATCTGGCCTCAGACACTTGACACTTACTAGCTGTGCGACCCTGGGCAAGTCACTTAACCCCGACTGCCTTACCAAAAAAAAGCAAAAAAAAAAATCTTATGGAAGTGAATGTTGCAAACTAAAAATAAATTAATTATAAAAAAAAAACCCAACAAAATCTTCCCATCATTGCATCATTTGGCTGGTCCAGCATGGTTGAATATGGTCTTGTTCCTTTAATGGGATATTACAGTAAGATAATTTCACAGTCATATGATAGGTACATTTTTTTCCATGAAAAAATACATCCCTTTATATCCATCATCAAAAAAGAAAAGAAAAGAAAAGAAAAGAAAAGAAAAGAAAAGAAAAGAAAAGAAAAGAAAAGAAAAGAAAAGAAAAGAAAAGAAATAGTGTTTCTTCACTTCCTCTTTAAGTTACTGGCTTGGAAGCAAAGCGGTCTCTCTATGGGAAGGCCATGGAGCTACAGAGATACACACAGTGGCAGCAGCAGCAGCTTGTGATGGCTATGGAGGCGTGGTGCTCAATAGCAATGGAGAGATAGACGCACCCAAGAGGTATGCTGCAGCCAGGTCAGTTGACTTGAGAGAGCCAACTGTTACATCTTCAGAGGAACAAATCAGCAATATCAGAAATCAGCAAATGCTACAAATCAGGTATTGATTCATTGTTTTGTAGATTGTCTAGACTTCAGAAAGCAGTAATCATGTAAGCTAAACTTAAAAGTGTGTCATGTGTACATTTTTTTTTGAGAGTTATTCAACACATACCAGCATACCCCCTGCCCCCACTCCTTCACCCTCCCGTAGGCACTTTACAGAAACAGTGACAGCAGCATATAGGTGGAGAAGCTCATGATGGGGATATTGAACCTACACTTCCTATAAAACCCAAGATCAGAAGTCACCCAAGCCATTCAGATTGGGCTTTCCTATGGATATTGTGAATTTGTAACTTGCTACTAGATTCATGTCTGAGTTCTAATTATCTATTTTATTTTTTTTTAAAGTTTGTTAAAAAAAAAAAGAGAGAGAAATGCTTCTTGTTGCCTTTAGATTACTGATAACACCAATTCCTTTGCTTGCCATTCCGAGTATAACCTGTGCACCAGCCTTCCACTTAAATGAAACTTTTTTTGTCTTGATTTCATGTATAGTGAAAAATTCAGTTTCTCTAGTAATCTGTCTACTTATTGTTCACTGAATATCAATCTCACATTTAAAGTACAAATAACTAAGAAAATGTTGACTGTTTTTTAAAAAAAACACATATGATTCTTAGAAGCTTTTGCACACTTTTGTACCATTTTGCCACTGTGACTGCAGAAATACCAAGATGACTATAAAGAACTAAAGCATTGTTTTGTATTTTTCTTAGTTTCATGAATTTCCATGATCAGAAAGTTCATTACTAGATTCTAAATTATCGTTGATTAGTCTCTCCTCTTAAAATGGTCCTTAGAAAGCAGTCAGTGTGTTTCCAAAACTATATTTGAAATCTTTTAAGCATGAAAGAACCTGCCAGAGCTTACCCTCCACAGGCACAGCCTCCGAAAAATGCCAATTCTTTATCACAATGAGGTTAAGTGACTTACCCATGGTCTTACAGGTAATAAGTGTGAACGGTGGGACCTGAACCCCAATCCTCTTGATTTCAAATTCAGCATTCTATCTACATCACACAGCCTCTCTGATTCCTCCAATAGATCAGTTATCTCAATCAGTATGTTTCCTTCAATAATGTAAATCATAACTTATCTCTACCTGTTACTTCCTGGCTTAATCTTGTCCAAACACAAAGTAAAATAAAAGTATAACTTGTAACTTTACTGACCATTAAGTGTAATATGGAGACTCAGAGCCTTCAAATGAATTTATTTAGCTAGATTTAGCCAGATAAATCATGGTTCATTTGTGAAACACATTCTCATATAAAAATAAAGAAAAAAATTAAAAGCTTTTTTTTAAACATTTTCTGATTTCTGTGCAACTGATATCCATTTTCTCTACATTCTAAAATGATTTAGTTGAAAAGCTCAGTTCAAGATCTATACTGATCAAATAGCAAAGGCGTAGTACAACTGATTTTGCAAACCTGCTTTTAATTTGGAAATCCCTGTGTATTACATCTTGTTCTATAAGGTTGCCCATAAAGTTTACATGTGCTCTCTGGTATATTCACCCCTGAACTACCTTATGACAGTTTTGTCAAGAACCAATGTGAGAAGAACTGAAAAAAAAAGATCATAGTATCTAACGTTTTACAAAGTTAACCTAGATCTTATCCGCCAGTCCCACTGACTTTTAACAGGAAGTATGTATCTAAATCCTCATAGAGCCCTTTGAAAATGCTGATATAAAGCTGCTATTGTTGACTTGCTCCTGTCCTGAACTCCAACAGCATTATAATCCTGGGTTTTGCAATATTATCAACTTCTACAATTCAACTCCAAAACAAACCTACACCTTACATAGAGCTGAGAATAGATTTTGAAAAGACTGCAGCATAGGAGAACTTACACAAAGTACTTCATGTTCTCATTAGGGAAGTTCTCTTTTTAATAAGTGGAATGCAATTTTACTACCTAAGTGACTTGTAAAAAACAGAATCAAAAAGTTTCTAGTCAACAAAATGTATGTTAAAAATGGAAACTGGTGTATACCATTAGTCGCAATCACTATTAGCCAATTTTGTTTAAAAATTTGGGGTTAACTTTCTGTTTGGGGAAGGTCTGTCAGGAAGTATCTGTTGTTCAGTCATTTTTAGTCCTGTCCAAGTTGTCTTCATAACCCCAGCTGGGGTTTTGCTGGAAAAGATACTGGCCAGAGCTGTTTGTCATTTCCCTCTCCAGCCCATTTTACAAATGAGAAAACTGAGGCAGAGTTAAGTTACTTGCCCATGGTCACACAGCTAGTAAGTGTCTGAGGCCAGATTTGAACTCAAGAAGACAAGTCTGATTCCATGCCTAGCGTTCTATCCACTGTACCCTCTAGCTACCCTTGGGAAATGTCTATTTGGCCCTAATAAAATATAACAATTAAAATGTTAAATGTTAGAACTTTTAAAATAATAAATGTAAAGAACTAAGTCCTTCAAAGTTAAAATGTGCTCAAATATCCTACTGTATAGGTTCTAAAAGGCTATAATTCTAATTTTATTTTTTAAACTATAATTAGTTAAGAAAAATTATCTAATCTTGGGTCAACCTGAAGGAAAAAGAACTACTATTTTCTAAAGCATTTTTTTCCACTTTTAATGAGATTCCATTTGTTCCAAATTTTTCTGTCTCTGCTATTTCACTTCAAATTCTCGTGAGACTTTAAATACTAGATAAATTGAGAAGATAAGCACTAAACCAACTTTTCTTTAGTTTGACTGTGTTCCCTGAAATCTAGATTTGCTCTAATTCCATTTAGGAACCACAGACTAGGTTACGTTGGGGAATTAAAAATAGGGACTAAAGGGAGTATTCTAGAAGGAATAGTGGCAAGGCTGACTTTAATTGCTAGTAAAACAATTAGATACAAATGGTATAGAATGCACACATATAGTTTTGGTGGCTGGAAGACCTGGGTTCAAGTTCTGCTTGATATTGTAGATGTCTAATCATGAGCAAGTCACTTAATATCTCATTTCAATGCCCCAGAAAACTCTCTAAGACAATAAACGGCGGATGAGTTGTCAATCTGCTTGGTGTAGAGGGACATTCTACGCTTGGGAGTTTTCCCACATTGATAAAATCACAAATCCAAACTTCACTTCATCCTGTCCAGACCACCCCTCCAAGAACAGGAACATAGAAATCTAAAAAGCAGTAAATAAATAAATAATGAAGAATTCCTAGTTTCTTGACATGAATGAATAGGAAACACTTTTTTTTAAAGCATCCTAAGTTCAATCTTTGGCCAAAGAGACTTTTTAAAACAACCCAAATTATCAGTTATGGAAGTGGTGAACCAGATGCCACGGTACATTCTTCTTACTCTCTTCAAATCATTTTAAAGTTGTAAAATACTTTGAGCTACATCCTCTTTTTAGCCCAAAAGTTTATGGATATGGACCATGATAACCTCAATAGTAGGCCACCTAGATTTCTATAAGTTGATCTAAAGTAAGAACATGGTTAAAAGAGGAATGTGATAACATATAAGATTCTCAGCTATGCTTACATGGCAAAATAGGTGAGATTAGGATAAGACAAAGTTAATTTAATAACTTTTCAGTCAGTTATAGCAAAGGTAGTAAGATATGTTCAGACTTTCACGACTCTCATTTCTATTCACATCTCTCAAGTTTGGAGATTTACCTTAAGAAGGACTGATATGTCAACTTCTTTGGTTTCCTTTAGGCCAAGGGGAATCAGGGGAATTGTAAATGTCTCCCTGTAAGAAAACACAATAAAGCCACATGACTATGTGCAGCCAGGGCACTCTACCATCAAGATCCAATGATCAATGCCAATACCTTATATAATGTGTTTAAAAAGTACTTGCTGGAATAATATGATTTTTTTTAAATCTACTTTTTATAAATTCTTTAGGAGTGTGCCCCAATTCCCCAGGATATGCCCAAAACATTTCCCTATATTTCACAATTTAGCTATCACTCTCCTCTCTTTTTGCTTTTCATATTACAGCATCCCCTCTAAAGAGAGTCCCTTCTTTATATCTGTCTGCAGATTGGGTCCCCCAGAAGGTGGCTACTACCCCAAGTTCCAATACACTGTATGAGTCACCATTTTAAAAAACACAGGTCAAGAATCTCCTCTGGCCACAGTCCCCAGTGCTCTCCTGCCTCCACCCTGTTAGCTGTCTCCAGAGCTAGCAAATTTAGCTTTTCACAGACCTTTAGGTTACTTTCACATTCTTGTACTATTGTCTGAATCCCTACAGCTTCATGTCCCTGACTTTGGACAGCTAGGAAGATGTTTTATATCCACCACTTTAATTTTGAATGAACTTTCCCAGAGACTGAGTAGGTATATAGAGGAGAAAGAATGCCTCTTTTTTTTTTTTATGGGGGAGGGAGGTCATTGTGCTTTGATCTTTCCTATACCATCTCAGTAAATATGCTTTTGTAGATACTAATCAATGTTAACTGGTTAATTAATATTAGGGAGACATTGATTGGTTAAGTGATATTGGTAAAAGTATGCAAGATGGGGACTTAGTAGGCTACAATTAGGAGGACAGGAATCCACAGGCTTACCCCTAGAATTTTTTTTAAGGCAATTGGGGTTAAGTGACTTGCCCAGAGTCACACAGCTAGTGAGTGTCATGTGTCTGAGGCTGGACTCAAACTCAGGTCCTCCTGACTCCAGAGCCAGTACTCTGTCCACTGTACCACCTAGCTGCCCCAGAATATAAGATTTCTGAGGGCAAGCACTCTCTCACTTTTGTATTTATTCCCCAGCATCTGGTAAACATAGCTTAATAAATGCTTGTTAACTGATTGTTTGAAAGTTTCCATAAAGACAAGATACCAGGGCTAGAGATTGATAGTAGAAGTTAAATGGATTCAGAACTAGTTGAATGACTGGACCCAAAGAGTAGTGAATATGAGTGTGAAGTCAACTCGTGGGGAATATCCCAGGAAATATTCCAGGTTTGGGACACTTGGCAAGGAGTTGGTGGCCAAGGAGAGGGATAAGGTTGTATATGTCTCCCCTAATACCTACTTAGCACAGTGCTCTCTCGTAGTAGGTGCTAAATAAACATTTTAAATTAATTAACAAATTACAAAGCACAATACTAAGAATATTCCCATACATATTCTGACGTTCTGAGTTCTAACCCTGCTTCTGCCACTAACTTATTCTATAACCTAAGGAGTCACAATGTCCCTACCTCTGTTTCCTCAGTAGTGAAATGAGGTTAATTTATGACCTATTTCACAGGGACGTTATGAAAATGAAAATAACAATGAGTGTGACCTTTGTAATCACTCTTTTCATTATTTTGCTTAGATATTTTGGTGGATTCAATTGGGAGAATGCTGATGGTTTATTTAAGTTAAAACAAAATTTATCAATGTGAATTTTTTAAAATAGATAATGAGTATGAAAGCATTACTTTTGAAAAAGGCAACATTGTTGTACAAATGCAAGATACTACGATGAATCTACATATTCATCTTTCATCTTCCTGTCCATATCTTTAAATAGGATACATACAGAAACTATGCTCTCAACACTGAAAACAACCACGGTCATTCTAAGAAAAATATAAGGCTACATTTCTTGCAAGTGTTTGAAAGAAGGTCTCAAAGGAGATCATCTGGTTCTTAAGAATTTTATGTTGCCAATGGGAAGGTTGAATTATATAAATTTATTTAGTTTTTGCTCAGGCTGTCTTCAAAACTACAGTGAAGAAGATTCCAATGGGAGCGAGTACAGAGATATATATCTCTCTTCATAAAAAGAAATGGAGAGATTTTTATTCACTCATGATTCAACTCGTGTTATTCTCTAAATTACTTCTATTTGTAGAATCATGATAGAGAAACTTTTCAACTTCCACTCAAAGGATTATAACTGGAAGAGCAAAAAAAGATGACAAATAAATAAGTAGTGTTCATATTTTAAACTTTATATAATTTTTAAAAAACTGAGGGTTTTTTCTCCATGGGTTTTCCCTGAAAAGACCACTAGTCTTATCCTTCAAAATTTATTCAAAACTTATTTTTCCTAAAAAAAATGGCTTAATTTACAGGGCAGTTCACATCTATAAAATCAGCTGTTTGGGCTATATCTTTAATGTCCTCAGCCACTCTAAATCTTATAATTCTATGGCCTCTAAGTGGAAGACTTCTTGCCACTAGCTTTTCAGAAGGCAAAACTTGAGCATTCACCTTTTTCTCTACCCAACTACTTACTATTATATTTATCTCATTTATTAAATACTTGTTTGGTAAATTACCAAATCATGCCACTTAAACAATCTTTTCAGTGAAATTCACGCATCTATAACCTTTTGTTTTATTTACTTGTGTTTGTTTTTAAAACTAGGTTTCCTCATCTTCCTTGGGCTAGAAACACAATGGCCACTTGTGGGCTTGATTGCACTACTAAGTCAGCATAAGACCTCTGACTCGCTGTTTCCAACACAGACCAGTTGTCCTTTCAGGCAACCTGGTCATCCTCTGAGAGGCTCAAGCCACATTAATGCTGAACTGAATGTGGACACCCAATAGGCAAAGCCCACCGCTGCTCACAACTCCCAAGCTCCAGAGCCAAGAATGAGACCTCTAATAGGTAGGATTATGCCTCCCCCCAGACATTCACAACCTTTTAGCAGAATTTTCCAACATACTTTCATGATTTTTTTTCTTTTGCATTCAATTGCTAGAAAGAGCTAGGAACTGTATACGGTTGAGAACAATAGTAATTATGTCCTTGTGTTTGAGAAACCAGTTCTCTGAATACAATCAGCCATCCAATTTCAACCTAAAAACTTCCTCTGCACACAGTTATGAAGAATAACCTCTTGTGCCTGAGTCATGGGAGCCGAACTCTTAACAACAGGATGAGGAGAGTTTTTCTGACACTAGACATTGGCACAAAGCTCTTCCTGTTAAGATGTGCAATATATGGGATCAGAACAATTGTCTTTTTGTTAAATACTTGATTCACTTTAGCACACACTCAACAGGTTCATCTTTACAATTCTGCCAACCTGTCCAAATCACATCTTCCAGCAATTTATAATTAACTTGTTTCTCAAAACTACATTTGTCAGGCTTTGTATCAACAATCTAAATATAACATCTTTTCCTTTTAATTGTACACTTTGTATACTCACATTTAGTGCAATAACATAGGAATTCAAACTCCAGTTTACTAGTTAAAAATAGCAACACTTTCACTTACTCTGTGTTCTGGTAAACTTCCACTGAGATGTTAAGTCCTTCTAATTCCTCCTTTAAGATCTGCAGATCTGAATTTACGTAACTAAGTTCCAAGAGAACCTGGTCTCGCACTTTGTTGTTTGTGGTTGCTCTGAAAAAAAAAAAGACAGGAGGATAGGAAACTCAATGAATTTCTAAGATTGCACTGGGAACAGACTCTACATTGTAGTGGAGCTTTGTTAAGTCCCTTAACTGGCATTCTCAGAATTTTAAAGATTTTTTTTAAATGAAATGGTAGAACTCTCAGGTTTCTCAAGCAATAAACTGCCAAGATGTACCTAGGGAAGTTAACCAATAAAGTGTCTTCCAGGTTTGATCACAGTCAAAAAACAGAACAAATGAAACAAAAGAAGTATATCATTGACTGAAAGATGACATGTTTTAGAGATGTGAGGGACAATTGCCATTATGAGGAGCCTAGAAACCAGATAGTAAATACTTTATCTGCTTGCCAAACAGAGCTATAGTGATCAAGGGCACACTAGTTTAAAATATAAACTAATGTGTAAAATCCTGCAGGGAAGGATTATAGAAGAAAATGAACAGTATTACCTCCTTAAAACAACTAAAAGGAGGGGCAGCTAGGTAGCACAATGGATAGAGCACCAGCACTGGATTCAGGAGGACTTGAGTTCAAATGTGACCTCAGACATGTAACACTTATTAGCTGTGTGACTCCGGGCAAGTCACTTAACCCCAATTGCCTTAAAAAACAAGCAAACAAACAAACAAAAAAACCCAAACAAACCTAAAAGGAGAAAAAAAGATTAAAGAAAATCTGACAATAGTCTCAACTACGCAAAGTCATCCCAAAAGCATTTAAGAATGAAACCAAAAGAGAAGATAATAAAGAAAAATAGAAAAGAGTTTCTTTTAAAAAAAAAAACAAACTTGTTTCAGTATCAAAGAAAGTGGAGCTACTACCTTTGAACTCTAACATCATAATTATGGATGTGCTATACACAGAAATTAAAGTGCCAGGAAGAAGAAAAAAAGGAAAGACATCTTAGACTGGACCATGTCTATACAAAGGTCTATGTTGAAGGTGATGCAATTTTGAGAACACTGAAGGATTTGTCAGGTTATCTTAACTAAGGGAGGATACTGAAAGTTTAGGGAAAACATCTCAGACCTTTTTATTATTCTACCCACACCCCCACTAAAGACAACTAAAAGAATATCAGTAATTATCAATTCATGTACCTACTGTCCTCTCATTACAAAATTTTTATTTGAAAAATTCTTCTTATAGGTATGAGAAAGGAAAAGAGGCTTTCACAAATGATATTACACAATAGAACATATCTTTACAGTCACACGTTTAACTAAAAGTTTTCATAGGGAGTGTAAGATCCTACTGTGCTTACTGTTTGTTGGTAATAACAATAGTTTTATTCTGTGTAACAAAATTCCCCCTAAAGGCTCTCCCTGCCAACAAAGTACTTCATGTGAGTATGTCAAAATTCTTTCAAGATATAAGAACAAAGATGATTTTATTCAACAGCCCTCTGACTATTAATATCAAGTAAGGTATAAAAAAGCAGAAGGATGTCCAATACAAAGTCCAAACAGAAGGATTCTCTATAAATGATGAGGTCTACCAGGCACTATTTGCAAGTGACATTATACTGATTGCATCAAACCCTCAAAGGCTTGAAGAACCTCCCAAATGAGACACACCCACTCAAAACAATTTGGTTGAAGCATCCATAATGGATAAAGAATGTCCATTGTCCTGACTATGATATTTAGTTGGATAAACAACTTATCTATCTGTATCTTAGACAGATGACATAGATTAAAGGTTTCCACTTTTTTAAAATCTATCCAATCAATAACAAAAATTTGATGTTGTACTCTATATGTATAAATTATATTCATGTGCTACTATACTATGTTCTGAAATAAACAATTTAAATAATTTTAATTTTTTTATGGTACAAGAATCTTTTAATATCATTGTTAGTGGTAGTGATATTATTGAATATTTCTTTGCTTTGGAAATTTTGGTTTAACACTTTGTGATATAGTGATTTGAGGATCTGGTTCAAAATTCAGTATATTTTTTTTCTTTTTTTAATATAAATTTATTTATTTTTAGTTTTCAATATTCACTTCCACAAGTTTTTGAGTTCCAAATTTCTCACCCCTCCCCCCCACCCCAAGATGGCATGCATTCTGAATACCCCTTCCCCTGGTCTGCCTTCTCTTCTATCTCTCCCCCCTCCCTTCTCTTATCCCCTTCCCCTTCTATTTTCCTGTAGAGCAGGGCAGACTTCTGTTCCCCCATTTCCTGTATTTCTTATTTCCCAGTTGCATGTGAAAACACAAAATTCAGTATATTTTGATGCTTAGTTTTATTGGCTGTCACAGCAGAAAAATTCATATTCACTAAGATAAATAGATCTATGTGGAAGAAGTGGTTTATTGTCTATTCTTTTTTTAATATAAATTTATTTATTTTTAGTTTTCAACATTTACTTCCACAAGATTTTGAATTCCAAATTTTCACCCCATCTTGCCCCTCTCCCCACCCCAAGATTGCATGCATTCTGAATACCCCTTCCCCTAGTCTGCCCTCCCTTCTATCTCTCCCCTTCCCTTCCCCTTCCCCTTCTATTTTCCTATAGGGCAGGATAGATTTCTGTACCTCATTTCCTGTATTTCTTATTTCCCAGTTGCATGTGGAAACATTTTTTTTAAAACATGTGTTTTTAAAACTTTGGGTTCCAAATTTTCTCCCTTCCTCCCACCCCACCCACCCTCATGTTTATTGTCTATTCTTACTAAATCATGATGATCATTTTTCAATCCACAAACTATGCAAAGATTTTTGTTGAAATTGGGCTAATAAATTTTGGAGATGGTCTCTGGAAGTCAAGTTCTAGGTCTAGATGGTGGCTATGTCAGGTGGAGAAAAGAGGGTAATAGCAGATGGCAAAATACCCTGACAGGCCCTGGTTTCCTGAGGTAGCCAACATCTTTTGTTTACAAGGTGTCTGATGGCTTTGGGAGGAATTGGGAGCAGAGCTGCCAATCAGACAAAGTTCTGTTTTTGTCTACCCGAGCCCCAAGCCCACGGGCAGCAGCAATCACTGGCTGCCTCTCTCCTCTTGCCAGATGGTGCTGCTCCTTGTCCCTACTTCCACTGGGGCATTGTTGCTGCAACTACTCCCCTCAAGTTCTCTTCCAGACCTGGGAGAAGCCCTCCTTGCTCTCCTGGATTGGGAAGGAAGGGGGGAGAGGGGAAGGAAGTGGGGGCGGTATGTCAGGGTAATAAGAACCTAAGTAGACAGCAAGGAGCTTATATACTTGGGAAGCATTTTCCCACTGACCTCTGAGCCAGCCCACCTGAGCCCTCTGTCTGGGATTCGACATGGTTTAATGGTGTGTCCTGGGTTGGTTATCTCCCATTCCACCCAATCTTTCCTGATCCTGAGGCAAGGGCTACCTGTTTTCATTGCATCCTTAGCCCCCAGAGTCCAGGAAGCATACAGACACCAGGCCAAGAGACATAGGAGATGTAGACAGTGGGCTGGAATAGGACAGCGACACATAGCGGAGGGCTGGGGAAGGAAAGCAGAAGAGTGAAGAGCCTGTGCTTCTCTCTTCAACTTTAAAAAAATAAATGTTACTGATACAACTTCACTTTCATCTAAGACTGAAGCAGGTATCTAAGGGACAGCTTTATGGTATAATATGCTGCCAATAGAGAGAGAAACATGACAGAACTGTCTGAGAGACTTCTGAGCTGATGATACTGCAGACCTGCAGAGGGGTATAGACACTTTGGAAGAGAAGATCAAGACAAGCAGTGGAGAGAAACAATTATGAACCTTTGAATAGTATACTAGAGGTCTCTCCAGAGTCACAGACATGTGCAGAATCCAGCTTCAAACATGACCCTTCATTCCCCATGTCTACAGCCCCAGAGATTGCTAAGGATAGACCAGATACATACATACACACACACACACACACACACACACTCAAAGTATGCATTTTATCCTTTGTAATTTCCTCTATCCCTTTTTTAGTTAAGAATTCATCCTTTACCCATAGATGGGAAAGGTACGTAATCTACTTTTATTCAATTATTTTATTGGCATGATATTTAATATTCAGCTCCCATATCCCATCACTTTGAATTTACTCAATTTATTTGAATTTATTTATCTTAAACCTCATTTCTGCCAGACTGTTTTCCAGTTTTCCCAGCACTTCTTGCCAAGTAGATTATTCTTTCCTAGATAATTTATGCTTTTGAACAGTGGGTTATTGAGTTCAATTACATCTGATTCTTCTTTGCCTGCTCTATTCTGCTGATCTATTTTTCTGTTTTTTTTAAGTTAGTACCAAGTGTTTTACATGACTGCTGCTTTAGAACACAATATGAGGTCCAAAAGTGTTATTCACCCTTCATTCCTAGCTTTGTTTCATTATTTCCCTTGGTATTCTAAGTCTTTTGTTTCTCTGAAAGAATCTTATTATTTTGTCTATATCTGTAAATATCTGTATATTTGTATCTATCTCTTTGGCAGTTTGATTGGTTTAATATTAAATCTCTAAATTAATTTTGACAGTATGGTCATCTTTACTAAAATTGGCATGGCCTAAGTATGAGTACTGAATATTCCTGCAGTTGTTCCTTAATTCTTGAAAGGAGCATTTTATAATTGTATCCAAACAGGCATTGAGTGTGCTTTGGTAGACTGGATCCCAGAAGCATTATGTATTTTGAATGAAAATTCATTAGCCTCTTGGATTTTGTTATTATCATGTGGAAAGATGTTGGGTTTTGTGGGGGGTTTTCTGTGGGTTTAACTTGTAGCCTGTAACATCACTGAAGGTACTGTCTCAATTAGATTCTTTGCTGACACTAGGATTTTCTGAGCAAACCATCATGTCATCAGCAAATTGTTCTCAATTTTAATATTTTTTCTGGATACCGCAATGGATCATCTTGCACATCTCAAGGTGCATGCTCCCCACTCTGTAAACCACTGATAAAGACAATGGACAAAGAGCTAGACTCAGAACTGAACAAGAAGAGGAGATTATATTTAGGAAATTAAGCAGGTTTTTTTTTTA